TCTTCCTCTTATTTTTAAATTTCTTTCATTGGAGTAATTTAATTCTTCATATATAAAAAATGTTGAATTGCTGCTAGATGACAGTGAATAATTCTGAATTCTTTAATGATGACGAAAACGGTAAAATTGCAAGACTTACTGTTAATCTGAAGTTTAGATTTAAGTTGAATTTGAAAATGAGAATTTAATTAAACTGAAAGAATACTGAAATGCAATCAATGCTCAATTAATAAGTTCAAATGATTGGAGAAATATAAAATATCTTCTTGACAGTTGTTTTTGTTTGATGTAAATTGATGAATTTATCGCTATGCATGTGTATGTCTGTGCATGTGTGCGGTGTATATGTGCAGGTGTATATGGAATTTATTGCAACTGACACCTCCCTCCTCGTCCACTTTCCTTAATTTAAAAGTTAAAAACCTTTTGTTATTGCGGCTGGCATTAGATAACGAATTAGATCGTTTTCGGCGATTGCCTTCTAAGATTACACCGCAGTTCTCCAATCTATCAACTAACTCTTAAACTACGAGAACAATTTTATGATTATTTCCTATTATTTCACTTAAAATCATTATCTTTTATTTTCATGGATTTAGTGACAATGCTACTATCAGCTAATTATTCATGATAAAGGATTTTTTGATAATTTCCAATTTTTGATTCCAGAAATTATACCATGAAATTATCAATCTCTAATTTCTATCGTGTTCCATTTATCCTAAGAAATTATGTAATTAGCATTAATTAGCAAAAAAAAAGAAGAGAATTAGTCGTCGTAAATTGGATCTATGAAGAGAACTTGTCTTTCGTGTAACAAATTAAATTGCAAATCATAACTTGAATAATTGGAAAAAAAATTTTTAGTTGATGCAAAAAAACGAGCCACTCATTATTTTAACACAGAATTCACTTCTTGTCAGCTTATTGATGACAGATTTCAAATTTGGAACCCATAAATTTGATTACCATTATTGCTAATAAAGTGAAAAATGAGAAAAAAACTATCGTCCGGTTCAGGGTGTTTCTTTCAAATAAAATGATTATATTAATAATCATTTTCTTGTTTTCCTTTCGTTATCAATAATTTCTCCCAAAAATTACTATTCCTATTTTATTTTCATTTATTAGAAGCCATTTTTGCACGTCGAATAATTAAAGTAAGATTTGTGCAAAATGTAAATTCAAAAGAAAAATTCATCAAAATCTACTGGCACAATTTGAATGCAAGCGGAATCGATCATTTGATACTTTTCTCATTACTTACCTAATGCATTCATTTCTTGTTATTAGCTAATATTCTTAATTAAGTGTTCATAAATTAATTAAATTTAAATTTCTAACATTCTTAAATTATTAATTTGTTAACTGCATGTATGATATGCGGTACTGTTCTATTTCTTTAAGGACTGATTTGTCGTCTTAAATTTTTGTGTGTATATGTGAATTTAGAATATGAATAGTTTGTAGTTATTTTATTTAATTTGCTGTGATGATTTATTGTCTTTATGAATTGACCATAAAGTGACCTAACAGTACATTTATCAAATAAACTGACCTTTGCTAAATTGTTACAAAATAGCATTAGTTTTTTGAATGTTATCTTTTGATAAAGATTGAACAGTGTGGTCAGTGATTAGAATGAAATTTAAATGAAATATTTTAATGTTCACTTTTGAAGAACATTAAAGTTTTCCTGAGATGAAATTTCAAAATACTTCTTTCATTTCTTAACTATTTTTATTTTAACTTTATCTCATATCTCAAATATTTTCTTAAATAATAATTTCGAAAAATAGAAATGCTAAATGTCTGTCTAAAAAGTATTATTAAAAACTATTCTTTTAGTATGTAAAATTTATTTAATTATTTAATTAATTAATTAGCTAATGTAACTTTGTGCTATTTTTTATGCTCAATTTGCATGGAATTTGTAATGTATGAGAAGCATTATCATTAATATAACTTCAAATTTATATAACAATAATATTTTCAAAACTCCTTTTCTATTGTAAAATTCACTTTTCTCTTTTATAAGCAAGCTGTCACAAATTCTTATAAACAGTACGAATAGAATTAATGCAATTCGTAATAATGAAAGTTCATAATTTGTTTGATGGAAATGAGCGGAAAGTCTGAAAATACTAATTGAAAAGTAAACAATATCTTCTGGAAAGAGAGATTGTCCTATCTTTTCAACAACAACATTTTATTGACTTTTATGGACATTTAGTATTTGTTTATATTACAACACAGAAATAAATACATTTATGTTACTATCAAAAGCTAGCATTGTGCAGTGTTATACAATAAAACGTAAGTATCAATTTATTATTTAATCTCTAATTAATTAATTATTGCAATTAATTATTCATTTGAAAAACTTTATTTATATGATTGAAAGTAAAATGAATTTGGATGAAAATTATCACTGATAAAATTATCAGTAGAAAGATAAAAGAAAAAATTTTGATAGCAAGTATTATCTACCAATCATATCAATGATAAGTAAATGAGTTGAAATTTCTAAGAAATTAGTGATATCAAAGATGTATTTAATTATTTAATTATAATAATTCACTACTGGATTTAAAACTACAAAATGTTTCTAAAACTGTAACTTTATTATCTTTTCAACGAGATAAAAGAAAAAAGATAAAAGAAAAAATTTTGATAGCAAGTATTAGTGATAGCATATCTGAAGATTATAAATTAGCATATCTGAAGATTATAAATTAAATATTATTCGCATCATAGTATAATTGGGTTATAGTATTGCATAATTAAGCCTAAATAAATTTATTAAGAGAGCTAAAATGTATTAAAAATATAACTGTTAGTTTTCTATCATATAGTTTTGATAATGACGAATTAGAAGTATAGAAAGGATTGATAGTATAATTTCCGTTACCTCTAATCAATTCTATCAATCTGTATAAATTAAATGACAATTGATGAAATACTGATAAGAAGTACGATTGACAGAACTTTTCAGATGTGATATGTTTATATGTTCGGCGATGGATAAAGGTTAAAGTGGAAAGGATTAACGAGGTACTCAATCATTTGTAACTGGACACGTGTCAACCACTATTTATCACTCCAAAAAAAAATATCTATCAATTCTGTAATAACTGATATATGCAAAAAATATCATCAATAAAACTTACTTACCAAATGTAAAACAATATAGAGAATATTATCAGATATTACAATTGAAGATTTGAAAAATTCATATACTTCCGATTCGTAATTGGCAGCTGTTATTAAAATCAAATGTATTCAGCTTCGAGCAATTATTGCTTTTTTCGCTAAAACTTTTCGAATTTCGCTAAAACAAACTAACTTAATCTGCTCAATTAATATTTCAAATTAAAATAGTTAATTAAAATGTCAATAAATTCAAGAAATCTACATTATGCAAAATTTTAATTTTAGATTTAAAAATTATAAACAAAAGAAAAAGAAGCTAGCTCCCAGGTTGCGAAATATTTTTTAAATAAAGAAATTTGCTTGAGAGAAATTAGAAAAGTTCGGTTAAGATAAAAGTAAATAAGTCGATCTGAATGATTGGCTCACATATTTTAAGATCATTGACTGATAAGTTCATTATCCTAAATTCTCGTGGGGGTGTGAAATTATCAATTATGCGGAACCTTGATAAATGATGAAAATCGTGTTAATCTAATTAATATTGCGTTAATTTGCGAAATTTAATGCCTTAGAATCATCGATACTATTACAATTTCATCGTATGTGACAGACTTTGACGAACGACCCGTTTTCTCGCAATTTGTTTCGCTTCTTCTATCAATTCTTCCTTCCTTCATACTACTCCGTTCAGGTCCAGAATGCTATCTAATCATTACTTCCTATCTCTTACCATTTCCTGATATTGTCTAACGGATTCATAAAACTTCTTCTTCTTTTATTAACTATAATTTATTGGGTTATAAAAATAAAAACACAAATTATACTTATTTTTCTTTTAAATTTAATATTAGATAATTTTTTATCAGAATGATAACCATATCAAATAAATGGGATAGATGATTTTGTTGAAATTTAAAAGAGTAAACTAGGTTATTTGAAATATTTAGATAAATGAAGTAATCATATTGAATTTAAATAGCTCTATCACATCGTAATTGATCACATAATTGATCTGTCATAGGTTACTTTAATTGTTTTAAAATTTTTTTCTAATTCTATTTTTTGCTACTAATCTAAGAAATAAATTGCTTCTTATTTATAAATACCATTCCTCTCTCTTTACCTGACTCTTTCTGTCTTTTTCTCCCAGCCTTTCCTTATTTTACATTCCATTCAAGGACTTATTGACAGATAAAAAATCATTCTTGACGGAGTATCGGGAATTTGAGCAATTCATGAATTCAGTGCCATATGAAAAAGTTGTTCGGAGTTTGTTGCTATTGCTGTTTTGGGTTAAATCTCGAGAATACCGATCAGTAGTTGTTCAATTTTTACAGAAGTATTCGAAGTTACAGTTTTAATAAGACTAATGCTATTAATGTTAGTTATTAGTGGTTAAAATAAATTAATTAAATTGTATAAGAATTAAGTGTAAATTTCAATTGGCATATCTTTACGAAATGAAATTAGAATTCATATTATTCAACGAATTAGAGAAAATTACGATCTTTAAAATCTAGAAGAATTGAACATGATAGTGATTTATTTCGAAATTAATTTTGGTTTCATTTTCAACGAGACATTGTCAATATCTTCCTTTTACATCAATGTCTATATTATTAATTTCTTGAAAGTTTCATTCACTTTAATTTATCTTTCATTCTGTCAACAACAGACAAGAATTGATAGTTTTTGTATTTTAGAATGATACTTCCTAAATTATATGTCAACTGGCTTAGTTTAAAAACAATAACAAATTGATTCTGACAAACTGTGAAATTTCAGTGAATATTGAAAACGTAGACAAAAGACAGTGGAATTGGAAAAAGGTTGTAAGGATCGGAAGGATGAGATTGGTATGCCTATTAAGGTGTATCTTGGCAGCACGTTTAATTCCATGGACTTTCGGATTGCCATCATCTCTAACTTCCGAGATATTGCAACCTTTAACCCCTATAGTACCACCACATTGCACAAAAACTTCTGTCATCAAATCTATGCTTTCACATGGTTAGTTCCAGTATACTTGCAAGTATTTTAAAAATTATAAAAACCCAAGGAATGATCACTTAATTAAAGCAAACAGTAATTAGCTCATTGATGCTTTCAAACAAGAATATTCTTCAAAGAATAACAAGTTTTTTAATTGTTCTAAGTTATTAAAGTTTTTTATGGGATAATGAATGGAATGGAAACTTTGCAAACTTTCGCCCTTAAATTAATTAAATTAAAGATTTCAATTTTTCATCAATTTCAAAAGTTGTTATCATAGACAGAAGAGTTTCAGTATTATAAAAGAAAATGGTAGACCTGAAATTTTCCCTTAAGACATCGAAGGTTTAATTCAATACTTTTGAAGAATTAATATTGTCTGTTAGATATTTAAACAATAGCAGATTAGCATCATCTAATAAGTGAATTAACAGAATTTTCTTTTGTGGCAGCTTGTTGCAATGATTAATTAATGATAGAAATCTCAACAAATTAAAGAAAAATTTTCTATAAAAAAAAGCCAACTCATTATTTATGAGTCATTAAAAAAGAACTTAATCAAAAAAATAAACTTAGTAATTGTTATTGTGATGATTAAAAAGAGAAAAAGAATTGGGAATTAAATGACAGAAACAATTGAATGAATGAAATTCCAACCAGAAATATTTTAATTCAAAAACAAAAAAACCACAATGATTTGACAAATTAATTACTTCAAAAAGAATTACTCATTTCTTTCAGTTATTTACTTTTTTCAAGTTTTGAAAAATTTCGTTAACATTTTTTATAAATTGTAGCATCCGGTGATAATCTGATCCGTATCACACAAATGAATATTCGTATCGGTCTTCAAAATACCGCTTGTTTTCGATTAGAAAATAAAACCAATGATAGAGATTCATTATTCATTGATGTTCTCAACGCAAGGTATTCTCATTTTCAGTGAATATAAAAAAGAATAAATAAATAATCATTCTTTAGATAGGCTCAAATATCTTTTAAAAGGTATTTTGAAATAATCATTAAAAAAATCAAACTAAGTTTTAAAAAGTAATGGGTGAGTGAGCGTGTTAACATTTACTATCTATTCGGTAATTAATTAAGTTGAAATAAATTAATGATTTCAGAAGTTATGATCAAGGATGGTTACATACATTAACATTATCTCAACTAGAGCATCATCATCCAATTTCTCAACAGTATGAATTTGCAATTCCGGAAGTACGAACATCTTGTATTTGTGAATGTGATATTAATTCGGATATTTGCTCCGCCAGGACATATTCCTTTACTCATTGCGCCTATAATAATAACACACAAGTTAGTTTAAAATTATATTCCTTTTTTTTTACTTTGAAATAAATTTAAATTATAAAAGTAAGATAAGAATGGAATAATCAAATGCTGAAGAATTTCTTTTGTACTCAAAGAGAAAAATATTTGAGCGCTTACGGTAATATAGTAATTAAATAGTAATTAATTAAATCAATTGTCAAAATGGAACAGACAGTTTATTTTCGAAAATGAACAAAGAAATCCGATGGAATTTGAAAGTTTCTTGGTTAAGAGCCAAAAGTAGGCAAATAATTAATTGAAGGAGTAATATGAAGAAATAGCTGGGCTGATTAGAAAGTATTCGATTAGGAATTGAGCCATTTGCGAAATATACTACAAACATTAGGAGCCAAGGTTAACAGAATGACTAATGAAGTCAATCGTCAAAATTTGCTGTACTACAAGTGATTGCAAACGGATTGCAATCTTAGATGATAAAAATAAAGTCTGCAGTTCTCAATTGAAAAATGAATAATATTCATAATCGCGTTGATTATGCAAAAAACGATTTGATGAATAGAATTGTTTTATGTTATCATGCAATTCCGGTCAGCCAGTAAATTTCCGGCTAGATTATTTGATCTTTCAATTTCATTTAACACGAAGTGTATTTGTTGAAGTGTTGTGATAAGATAAATGAATGTTATCAATAATACTATTAAAAATTTATGAATTTAAAAGTTTTTTGCAGTCATTACAAGAAAATTGTTTTCGAACGTTTCATCCAAATCAGGCAGATACTGGATGTTTACCTGGCAGTCAGTCTAAGCTATGCTGCGAGGTAAAATCAATTTCTAATATTGAGCTGATATTTTTTAGCAATGCTTGATAGGAAGATAGGATTTCTTTTCTTAAACAAATTAGAAATAGATTTTAAATGCATTATTAATTAATTTAAATTATTTCTCTATTCAAAAAACTAATATTAAAAATGAGTAAAATTAATGTTTGATTTATGTTTAAGATAAGTTTCACACCATATCAAAATAAATCATATATTGCGATGAAATTAGAACAACCGACGACATTTGTTACTTTCAAATATGTTGCATATGATTATACAGCTGGTCGATGGATTGAAAAGGATAAAAATACTATTCGAGTTGAAATTGATGGTCAAACACAATGGCTTTTTTTGGATAGGTAATGTTTCCACAACGCCAATAGCCATTGACCAAAATTATTCAATTTTGAACTCCTCTTTTGAAAATGTCAAAATGATCATTTGAAAATTTCTTATTGTTAAACTTCAGATTTTTACCGATTAAAATTTAGGTGGCAAAGATTGGAATTAGGAGTAAGTGCGGGTGGACGAGCCAGTCATCAGCTTGAAAGTGGCATGTATTTTGCTTCAAATAATCCTAACGGTAAAATGGATGATTTGCGACAACAAATAATTAATGAAATTAATGAGAACAAGTGAGTTTTAAATAATAGCAAGATTTCTATACCTCTAACAATTTGAATTTCATATTTTTATTCAATCCGAATGCTTATTTTGTAGTTTCGAGAAACTAGGCTGGTTTCGTAAGGATGCATTGGGACATTTTACTATACGAAATGGGAAAGTTAAAATACAACGGATGCATTTGGGGAAAGTAGAAAATTGTAAGGATCAAAAATCACAGAGTTTTCTTGATGCTCATCATTATGTTGATTTCAATGATCCTGAGGTTTGCAATTTTTCATTTTTCACCAACTTCAAAATAATGTTACTTTGAATTAGCGTCATTTGAAAAAGACATATTCATTTAATTGCATTGAAATTTAAAATATCGATATAATGTACATTACGTCGAAATGTAAAACAAGAAGATTTAGTTCATTTAATTTTAAAATTTAATTTTTGATTTAATTTTTGCAAAATTGAAAATGAATTGTACATCTAAAAAAATTTACGACAACCAGAATTAATTTGTTATCAAAATTTAGGAATTCAAATAATCATAAATATAATACAAAGCAATAAGCAGAACAATCTTACATATGAACTAAATGGGTATTGTAGAATCCGGAACGTTTTGTGCTTGAAGCACCTGTGGAACGGATCTATCCATGGATAAGAAGTGCTAAAGTTACTGATGGATCGGGACGCCATGTTGTAATAACACATTCTGAGGGTACCAATGTAGAAGTTGCACTGCAAGTATGTTAATTTTTCAATTTTGTAAAAATTTTTACTATCCCAAAAATAATATTTTAAATTTGAAATTATTGTAATTAAGGAATTAAAATTTTAAATTTTAGCTTCACGAAGAAACATACAGTTTGTCATTTGTGCATGACTTTTCCAAAATGGATGATTTTTCGGGTACTGTAATTGTTGATTTCAAATCGAATCGTTTCTTTAATCTAACTGTATACAATGCTACCGGTATTATACATGGTGCCGTAAAAAAGACTATAGATAAAAGTAGTACGGATGAATTTCAGTAAGTTTTCTTAGATACCTTCACAAATATGAAGGTAAAATTTTTTTATTCAATAAAAATTAAAGTTGGATATGTAGAAATTTTATTCATTTATTAATGTGTCGCTGTTAAATTTTAAAAATCAAAAAGGTATGTGAGAAAGTTTTCAAATCATTTGATTGAAAATAATGAGAAAGATGATATGAGGTGATATGATGATTCAATGTATAGAAAAATTAGAAATTAATATGAATATATTGATAATGATTTTAGCTTCACAACTTATATTGGTGATATGCGAGGTGCCAATAAAACTCTTATCATACCCCTCCCCGCATTAATCGATGGTGGAGATCGAATGATTTGTCTTTATGCTGATAATGATAATTCCAGTGACGAAAAAATCTGTCGAATTATTGCGTTTAAAGAAGTTGCTCTTGAAGTAATTTCAATTCTGATTATCTCATTTTTATTTGTCATTGATAGTAATTAATTAATATTAGTATGATAATTATTTTGATAGTTATTAGGTTATCATAATAATGTTTTGATATTATAAGAAAAAGCTATCTTTTTTATTAACTATTATTAATCTTATGCAAGAGCATATTTTACCAATAATAATTACAGATTAATTTGCTGGAAAATACTTGGAAAGAAATTGATGGTCATTGTCCAGAATGTAATAAATTAACAGTGGGAGGTTTTTTAAGCAATTTCAATCCTGTCAATTGGGCTAACGGTATTTCATCTATTTCAAATTTTGTTATGATGATTACCGATGTCATTGTTTATATAATTTTACTGCTTATTATTTATTTCATATTGACCAGGTGTTTAATACCATGTTGTAGATGTGCCTTATGTTTTCCAACGGGTTCATCATGTTGTAGCTTTAGTTCATCAAGATGTAAATCAAAGAATGCGCAACATCATTAAAGGTAGTTACTTAAATTTTAACATAAAAAGGAATAATCCTATTTTAAGATTCTGTAATAATTTTAAGTAATAATAATCGAATTAAAATATTTCAGTTTTTCTTACGGTCCAAATGCCTTCCTCTTATTTGAATAAATTCAATTTTCTGTGCTTTCGGTTTTACATTTTGAGTAATTATCCTTTATTCATCCATTCTTAAAGACCAATTCAATTGAACTTCACCGGTGACCTTTCCGATTCCGAAAGGAAAATCGGATATAATCAAAATACGTTTCATATTAAACTGCAAATAAATTAATAAATTAACATATTTCTTGTAGCACCTAAACCTAAAAATTATTTGCTGTATATTTTAATGTGATATTAATTGCGGGTACTTATTATGTAATTGTTCCTTTTCAATATTCTTCATGTTATTGTCATCTGTGATTTTTCAAAGTGTCTAATTTTTCTTTTGTCATCGCTTCGTTTATTATCAAACATATCTTTCTTAGTTGTCAAAAGAAATTTTTTCACAAACTTTCAAAATTTCATGAATTATCTTTTTATTATTATTATTCGACAAAAACTAATTGATTGTTTAATTAGCAACGAATTTACAACTAATCACAATCTTTTAATTTTTGATAAATAATGATGAAATTACCGAATTAGGACATCGCTAATTAATTATGTTTTCCTTTTCATTGTTGTGTGTTACATATTTGCATATGAAATAAAATTGGTAATAATTGAAATGTTGTTAAGTATATTATATGATGGATAATTTCACATGTTGGAATTTAATAACTATTAAATTTCAAACATATCCTTAATTTCAGATGAAATACTTTTCAAATGAGAAATTATGCTTTGCTGCTTTGAAACTATTATAAAATGCCGCATTTGAGATTAGCGAATCCAATTTATTTTTTGACATCTTCATAAAATAATGCCGTAACACGGTAAAATTATGAAACATATAATAATAATAATATAATAATAATAATAACAATAATAATAATAATAATAATAATTAGTAGCGATAATAACAATAATAATATTAACATTAGCGATAATTATTATAATTATAATAGTAGTAGTAATAATTTAATAATAATAAATAAATAATGTTAGTAATGGTTAATATAATAATAGTATTAATAGTGATAAATAAATAAATAAATAAATAAACAATGTTAATAATAAATAATAATAATAACAATAATAATAATTAATAATATTATTACTGTTATTATTATTAATAAAAATTATGATAAATAACAATAATGTTAATAATTAATAGAGATAGTAGCAATTAATAATAATTATTATAGTGAATAATAATAATGATTAATAACTAGTAACAAATATGGAATGAAATAAATTTGCATAATATATATCTGTCGTTAATGTGCTCTTTTTCTCATCATTTATATTCATCCAATAAGATAAACTTCTTTATCGTCCTCAGATCTTATATTTCTTATACAAACTTTTCCAAAGAATTGTTTCAATCTAAATTTTCAAACTTATTTGCTTTCATTTAACATCAACGATTTACCATTTGAGCCATTTATTTATTCTCTTTGATTAAGAAAATTGTGATAAAACTACATTGAATAGAAACTAATGATATCATTAATATTCATTGATATTTGATAACAATAAATCAAACCAATTATCACATTGTTTACTGTAAACAAAATTCAAATAACCTACAAATTCATTTATTAAAAAATTCAATATATTCAAAAAAAAGAAGAACATTACTTTCTATAAACTTTATACGATGCACACATATATATGTATATAATCATTTAATATTTTATAATTATCATTTAATCATTATCCTAAGGTTTACTTTATCAATCAATCCTATGATCGAATGCAAATTTCTTATCACCGAATTATTTATGAAATGAAACTTTTTTTTTGCGACAATGTAGTAATTTTAAGGCATAAATAAAGATAGAAATGAATTGATGATTAAGGTTAGGTTTATTTCAGATTATTTTAAGAATTATAAATGACAGCAAGAAATTCTAATTTAGTATACTGAAAATGATTAATTTAATTAATCTTATACTGTTGTGAATTTGCGTTGAAAGAATATATTCATAAAATGAAAAGTGTTTCAGTGATAAACAGATTTTACTGCAATCTTCTATAGTTTAGTGCACCTAAATTAAATTTTAAATTTTAATTATATGAATTTATAAAAAAAGTGTAACATATAGATTTTAGAAATATTCTTTTGTTTTTGTTTTTAAAAATAAATTTTTTTTAAATATATAAATTCAAATAAATTTTAAATAAAATTTAAATTTTAATGTTAAAAGCTTTTAATTCAAAATTTAAAATTAAATTTAAATTATAATTAAAAGTTAAAAGCTTTTCAAATTCATTTTGTATGCTTTTTTGGTGCTTTAAAACTTGCCGATTAATTATTAAAATGAAAGATAAAAGATAAAATTCTGTAAATTTGTTTATCTTTGATTAATAATAATAATATATTAGCCATTCGATAATAATTCACAGAACGCTTTATTAAAAAGTATTTAATAATTTTTTTTGAAACAAAAGATTACAAATTTAAATTTAACTTTTATAAACTTATAACACATTAAAGAAATGTTATTGGAAATAATGAAATGAAATTATCGATTGATAACATTTGAATTTCAATTTTTTCGATGCTAAATTTAAAAGGAACGTTAAATAATTAAACATTCATACGTCTACGACCATTTAGCTGTTCCTGTACTCGTTTTTTATAACCATCACGCATAAAATTTACAAAGAAAGCAAAAAATTTTTTGCAAATTGCTAAAATTTGTTGTTGATCTTCGTCGGAATGCGCCTCGAGGATAATTTGAATTAAATTACCCTGTAAATTTTAATTAATTCTATTTTTAAGTCTCTTTTAATTAGTAGGACTATATAAAACAAAAACAAAAGAAATAATTAATCAAAATATGTATAATAAAAAAAAAAGGAAATGAACTAAATGAAGCGATAAAATAATTATTTTTAGAGTGCACCCGTTCATTTTTTTTTCTCTCTCTCTCTCTCTCTTCTATCGATGTTTATGATATTTCAATAATAATTAATATCTTGCCAGAAAAATATCCCAGAAATTCGTATGAAAATTTTCAATAAGCACATGCTTCGCACCAAGCTTACGACACTCTTCTGCTACCTGAATATTTTTTATTTAATTAATTAATTAATTGATTGTAATTAGAATTAGATTAATTTTGAATGTCATTTCCTTTGATTAATCTTTTTGAAACAAATAATTTAAGTTTGAATCATTTTCTAAATTATTATCGGTTGCATCAACCAATAATTATCGGCTGGAACAAAGAAGAGAATTTTATTTATTTTAGAAAATTTATAAACTGAGAATAAAGGCCACTAGAAAAGTGATTAAATTTTTTTTTGTTTTGAAAAGCTTAAATTTGAAAAGATGCTAATGACAGTAATTAGTAAAATTGTTATTATTTGTTTTTATCTCTTAGTAAATTATTTTGTTCAATTGACTAACTTTCAATATATACATATGAAATAAATAGTTGTTTTAGAATTGAAATGTTATCTTACAATTTATTATTTTATATTTTATTATATTAAAAAAGCTTTTAAAATTAACTTACTTTAGTATCATTGCATTGTAATTCAATAATTATTTTATCAACAAAATCTTCAATAAAAGGTGCTAATGAAATGAATCTTGCATTACTTTCCGGTTCTTCATCTTCTCGTAAACCGGTTGCTTTCTGAAAATAAACAAAAATGCAATTATTTAAGCATTTGATTTCCTCAACCGTAAACTCTCCAAAATTAATTAAATTAATCGATTTAAAATTATTTAGAAAAAAAAAAAGAATAATCGTTTATCTTTCAAGAATAAATTAAATCAATTAATTTGAAATTAAATTGAAAAAACAAATATTTGTTACATGCGATTATTTCGATCATTTTATTCAACAATAAAATAGATTTCGCATAATATTCAATTTCCTCAATTGCTACCAGTCATTTAATATTTCAATTGTTTCAATTCTTTCAATTGTTACCAGTCATTTCAAATTTTTCGGAAAAAAGAAAGAAACCAATCAGAAAATATTATTTATTTTAATACTATTTGAAAAGCGAAAAAGAAATGAGTAAACAAACTTTGATATTGACACTTCCATGTGCTGATTTTATCCATGCTCTTAGAAATAAATCTGAATTTTTCTCTTTCAATCTAAAATTAAATTTTTAATTTGAAAAAATTGAACTGAAAATTATTTTTGCATCAATGAATTACAACAAATGGATATGTGAATGAATATCATTTATGATATTAGCAATAAAATTTATCGTTTCGTTGTAAACAAGTGAACAAAGAGTTACATTCTTTTCTAAATCATTTCATTTCAACATAAATTTAAACCTAATTAATTTAGGTGTAATAGGAAAACTTACTTAGGCCAACCGTCTATCAATAATTTTTTCTCTTCCTTTGTTAATGGTTCCATTTCAGGTAAACTGTTTGTAGTGAAAAGTGATAATAAGCCATTCCAAATACGATGAAAAATTTTATTAGCACACATATTCTTCAACGCTTTATTCCTTCTTGTCGTAATAAATCAAATCTTTTCTTCTCTCTCTCTCTCTCTCACTAAATTTTTTAAGAATTTTAAGCAGTTTTAGTCAAAATTTAAATTCAAAAAAAAAAATTTCTATATCTTGAAAATTTTTTTAATTATTTCAAATTAATTAATTATTCTTTTCTTTTAATTAAATAATTATTTGTTTGATTTAAATAAAATTAAATTTGTGATATGATAGTTTAATATAGTTTAATTTGTAATTATAGTTAATTTTAACATTTCATTTAGTAAGATATTTAATTTTCAATCGATTTAGAAAATAAGAAAAAAATGGGAAAATGTAAATTTGAAAATTTATTTTCTTCTTCTGATTGTTTACCTTCCACTTCTTCTTCTTCGTTGAAATTAAAAGAATATTGAATGGAAACTTTATTAGAATGAAAGAATGATTTCATTGGTTGAAATAATACATTCAGCTGACTTCAATGATTCTTTGAAAAGACTCTGAGAGATTTCAAAGAATTAAAGTAAAAATATATTTTGCTTAATTGATATTAATAATTCAGCTAAATATAAAATCTCAATTCTTTCAATATTTTTCAAGATATCTTATTTGACTCTTTCTTTTTATTTCTAAATATACAATATTTACTTTGATATGGAAATATCATATATGAAATGAAATTTAATAATATTCGAAAAATTTGTTGACAACCAATCTCATAAGTTTACTTTCGTCAAAAAATTTTTCTTTCCACTAATTACATACATTTTAATCGAAGAAATAATTATGCTATTATTTATTAAAATTTTAATTAAACAAAATTATTATTTAAGGAAAACAAAAGAGAAGAAAAGAGAAAAGGGTACAATAAATAAAGGTAAATTTAGAGAGCTAAAAATTGTGAATGAAAAAAAATTTGCATTAAATAAAACTGATAGACAATTAGAAATGAACAATAATTTTCAGGAAGGAAAAATGCAAAACAATTTCTGATATTCTCATAGGAATTGATGTAATTTAGTTTTTTGTTGAAATTTTACATAAAAAAGTTTTAGCTGTTAAATTTCAACAAAAGGGAAAAAAGAGGGTTGAATGAAATGAAATGGAAAAAAAAAGTGCCTCAGAATATTTACATTTATTTCAGGCCAGATTTTATAGTTAATTTGACGGGTGATAGCCAGAAGCCTACTTCCTACTAACTTAAATTAATTAATTTCTTCTTTTTTTCATGTGAATAAAAATTGTGACACACACAGATATGTATGTGTGTATATGTATGTGTGTATGTGTGTATGTGTGTGTGTGTGTGTATGTGTGTATGTGTGTGTATGTGTTATCAAATTACTAATTTTGTCAATTTTTTAACAAAATTTACTAGCATATTAAATTAGATCGTTGAGAATAAAATTTTAACAACAATTTAGTAATATGTTAAATTAGATGTGATAAGAAGAAAAAAAAGGAAAATGTATGATTGATAAGTTGACTTAATGATGTCAACTTATCAATCATACATCTTTTTCTTTTAGAAATGAAAAATAATTTAATAATTATACAATAACAAAAGAGTAGTGTATACTTCACTTGGAATTAGCACTGATCACAAATGCTTAACTAAAAATGGAAATTATTATCAGAATTTCAGATATCTTATCAAAACGAAAAAAAAAGATAAAAGAAAGAATTTTTAGATTTAAGCATAAAATTGAAAAATTATCATTTGAAATAATTAAAAGTAATTTTCAGGCTTTCAAAATAACTATAAATTATTTTTAAATTTGTAATTTAAGTTTAATTCTTTTAAATCTATTATTTAAATTTTTAAAAGGATACAGTGAAATTTTTTAGTTTAATCTGTCATTTAAGATTGAAATTCAATTTCAAATAGGAAGGGCTAAATTTTCTTTCTTAAGCTAAAATTGATGAAATATGAGATGAAAAGGATAAAATGATATTGCTAACAAAGATTGGGAATGATATGATCAATTAATTTGAATTGATAACTAAAAAATTAAATCAATCGAAAATATTATTTGTAATTTAAATTTGAATACAAATACTTAATGTTATCAAAATATTAACAGAACGAAAGTGAATGAATAAATTTGCTTTATTTGTTATTTTGATAAATTTCTTTGCAACTATCTCTTCTAAAACTATTTAAATATAAATTTGAAACTATTCAAATATATCTTTTCTTCTTCTTTATATTTCAATGATTTCAAATTCTTCAACTATTTAAATATAGTAAAGAAATATTTCGGATTGATATCGACAATTTCAACAAAATAGTATAATTAAAAATTAAAATTTAATACGCATAATATTAAATGTAATGCAATAATTGAAAGATAATTAATTATCTTTGCATATTTTGCAAAATTTTGATTAATTTAATTATCATTTAAATATTTTAGATTTTTTAATTTTGCTTAACTTTTAGTATTTGATTAAGTTTTATAAAATATTTGTGAAATTTCATTAATTAATATAATCAAAGGAATAATATAATTAGTATAATTAGAGATAATTAGAGTATAATTAGAGAGTATCAGTTCTATTTCTCTAATATAGTTAGAAGAATAGAACTGATACTGGTAAAATATTCAAAACAAAATGATCTATCAATGCAATATGGGAAAGTAAGTAACGGATGGAGCAATTAATCTATCCAACCGCCTTTTACTTTTCCCGACGGACTGATTGGATGATATTCCAATTATCTCATATAATTAATTCAATTTAATTTCAATATGAAAAACAATGAATTTCAAAACACGAACTCTCCGTCTAAATTTAAATTGTGAAAGCATAATGGAAAGAGAGTGGGAATGGTACAGGTGTTGATGTCATAGCTTAGCGGTGTAATTTCATCGTAGTAGTTGATGAGGTTAAGCTCGATGACACCATATGGCATCGTTGATTAATATAAGTAAAGTTCAATGATGACAGCTTTTAACCACCAAGATCTCTGAGTTTGGTCATGATTTGAATTTGATAACGTGCATCACCATCTGAGAACTTCTGATAACTTCCTTTTGTGAAATTTAAAGATGCGAATTTCGGAAGAGTATAATTACTCTTTAATAAGTTGAAATTAGATTACAAATGCTATATTGTAAAATTTGAATAATTCTATTGTTTTAATTCATGATTTTTTGTTTTTAAGCAAATCAAACAGAGAGAGAGAGAGAGAGAGAGAGAAGGAGAGGGAGAAAGAGAGAGTTCTAATTTGTATGACTTTATTACAACCAATTCATCATTATTGCTTTCATTTTCTTCGAAATAATATTACTCAGATTTGCAATTTTCAAATGCAAAACTGAATAGCTGGCGCTTGTCATATAATTATCATTGTTTTTAAGTAATCATTAAGTATTTCTATTCACAGATTTCTCGGCTTAAGCTGAAATTTAGGCTTAGGATATAACTTAGTCGATTGTGAGCAGTTTATAATTTCTAAATGAGACCTTTCGATCTTTCCAAACATTTTCATAACTTCAAATTTGAAGGTTACAGCGGAAGAATAATCGAGCGTCCTCTCTTTACAGCAACCGAAGAAGCGGTCACAATCTGTCCCTTTCTCTCTGTAAGCAAACTCTACTCTATCCCCTCTTTACAGCAACCGAAAGAGCGGTCACAGTCTGTCCCTTCCTGTCTGTACATTTTCGCAGCCCCTCTAATGTTATGTTTGTATATGTGTGTGTGTGTGTGTGTGTATGTATGCGTATACGTGTGCGTCTACGCTTGCGTGTGCGTGTGTGTATGCGTGTGGGTGTGCTCCTTCTCAATTTATTATAGGCAACAAATTTCTGTAGGAGTTGGAAGATGGAAGGAGTGCCGGTATATTGTTAGATCGTTTCGTGCATTATATCTTCTTTCCATCCTTTGAATACCTGTGTTTTGACCTGTAGGCAGGAAAATTCAGTTTTAACCCTTACACTCATCTTTAGTGACAGCTTGCTTAGGCACTTTTTATTCTCTTTTAAAGTTTTCAGTTTCAAAAATGATAACTTCCATTTGCATTCCTTACATGGTATACATCCTCTTTCATATTTTATTGTAATTATTATCGAATATTCCTCGGCATGTTCGTTGCATCATTAGATTACATGCATGCACGCAATTCTTGCATGATCCTTGCACAACTGATCATTCAGTCATTACGATAATGTACGAATCTTTGCTCTTAACAAAATATGAAAATGATTTCCGAATAACTTGGATTTTTTCTAATTTCTGATTTAGGAATTTCCATTATTTTTCCTCATAGCAGATATTATTCAAATGAACATATTCATTTGTGATAAAAGTAGGTAATAAATCTCCAAACGACTCTTCCGGAATAGCGAGGATACTATCAGGTTTATAATTATAAAAAAATTCTATTTAAACATCCCGCTAGATTTATATATACTGATATCATTGCAAATCGGAATATATCCTACCAAATCTAACTTCTTAATGAATCATAATTGATAACTGAACCAACGACTCTGTTCTTATTACTGAAGATGCATGTCAAGCAGTATTAGTATTTTTAGTTTCATGCGATAATTAAATTGATGAATTGTTCTACCGATTAATAGTACAACTGTGGTACTTCTTGCACTGACTCATCATGATTGATTAATTATTGAAAAATAGCAAATTTCTGAGGGAAGAAAGAACATTTAGTTCCTGTACAATAAAAACGAAACATTATCAAACATTTATTTTCCTTGTAGACTTTAATTTCATTCTGCTGTTGCATATCATTAATTACTTGGGTTGTGTTAAAATATTCGCTTCATCGGATAATTATTTATCATTTCACTTCATTGCTTTTGTTAATAATTGTTGCATCACGTAGCAAACAAAAATAATCGATTTCAAGTTATGACACGATTTATTTATTAATTAATGCTTTATCCTATAATATCAACTGTTCAGTGAATGATTTCAGATATCATGCACTTCATCCTAACGACAGCTATCATATTTGTCACCTTTTATATCTCTAGTAACGCTAGGGAAGTGGCAACAGTTACTAAGAAAGTTTATTTTGATATTGCTATTGGTGGTGATAAGGTTTGTATTTTATTTTCACTTTTTTGTTAATCAAATATGCTACACTAAAACATTCATGCTAATTTGTAAGTCTTTATGATTGGAAGAATTTGTTTTATTAGGTTAGTATATTTGTGATACATATATAAATGATACATTTTTTAAAGTTTTTTCAAAAATTATCAAAAAATTGTTGCATACTTTTAGATTGGAAGAATAGAAATAGGTCTGTTTGGTAACGATGTACCGAAAACAGCAGAAAACTTTCGTGCACTAGCTACTGGTGAGAAGGGTTTCGGTTACAAAGGATCCAAATTTCATCGTGTAATCAAAGATTTTATGATACAAGGTTAATTTTTTGTTTTTTTTGGACACAAGAAGACTTTTTTTAGGAAAAGATTTTTTAGAAAAAATCGATATCTAAAGATTTTTTAATTTAGGTGGTGATTTTACGAGAGGAGATGGGACTGGTGGTAAAAGTATTTACGGTGACCGTTTTGATGATGAAAACTTCAAATTGAAGCATTACGGTGCTGGTTGGTTGAGTATGGCTAATGCAGGAAAAGACACCAATGGATCACAGTTCTTCATAACTACGGTTAATTTACAAGAAAGCGTTAAATTGGAACTGAAATTTCACTGTCATTTAAGCGGTAAATCGGAAATGTTATAAAAGCAGGCATAGTTTCAGGTGCAAACGTCATGGTTGGATGGTCGTCATGTTGTGTTTGGAAAAGTTCTAGAAGGTATGGATGTTGTTAGAAAAATTGAACAAACCGCAACACATCCAGGAGATCGTCCGAAACAAGATGTTGAAATTATAAGTTGCGGCGAATTGCCTGTAGATGCTCCATTCGATACACCGAAAGAAGCTGCAGCATAAAAAATTAGAAAAAGTAAATTAATTCTAGAAACAAAGTCCTTCGGAAAATTGTAATCTTGTTAAGAGTACTGAGTTCGTGTTACTGTAGGAATCAATAATGGATAACTTTATAGAAAAAAATTAATTTCCTTTAATGAAAAAAAATGAAAAATTAGTTTAATAGACTTCGAGATTCGTGAGCAGTTTTATTTTTAAGTAAATGAATTTTGCCGCTGCATTAATGTAATGTATTAGAGGACATAATCATAACGAAAATGATAGTATGTATTGTTGTTAATAAAATGATTTTAATGGTACAGTTTAATAGTGCAGGAGCCACGATAATATCACTGTAATGACTTCTATTATTGAAAGTCCATAACGTTTTAAATTTCGAATCTTGAGAAATTTGAATGGTCCGTATTGAAAAGCAAGGATGTTCTAAATTGAAAATATTTTTCAAGTAGGACTGCACCTTAAATTGTAGTTTATGTTGAAAAGAATATAACTCTCTCTAACACAAGTTTTAGATATATTCGGAGATCGTAACAAGTCGCAGAATATTTATTGAAATTACCTTGACAGATGGGTTTGTATGAATCTTGTTGGCCTTGACCTAACTATCAGTTTCTTCATTTTCCTTCTTAATTCAATTATATTTATTCTCATTGAGCGGTTGTTAAATTATTATGCTCAAATAGTTCTTTCATTTCTCCATATTTCTTTAAAAAAATTAATGATTACTGTTGAGAAATGGTTCATGCATATTAATATAACTAATATTATTAAAAAATTGCTGAATAACTGAATATATCAAAAAAAAGGACAGAACTATTCGAGCATAATATGGAAAAATGTTAGTTATACTTCTCTTCAATGCACCATTCTTTGTTTGTAAAGGATTTTGAATGTGCACTTCGCAAAATCTTTGAAATCTTACGATATGCACACCACTGCTCTTTGTGGAATATGCGCCTTGTGTAAATACGAAGTTACAAATTAGTTCCATGACTGAAATCATTCAAAATATATCTTCTTATGGATTAACATTATCTTATGCTTGTTAGACCAAAATCAAAAAAATGAAAGAAGTGAAAATATTCGGTAAATCTTAAACAGTATTTCCTCTCTTAGTTGTAAATTTGAAAAGGGAAATACTAAAACATCGTGGATGACAAGTTTTATTAGGTAACGAACTAGAAAGGATGAATGCCATTCGTCAGCAGATCAAACCTTTACAGCTGCCAACTCTCAACGGCTGGAAAGTCTTAATATATAAGCGAAAATAATAAATGATTGTATCATTAGAATCAGAAAATGTATCATCATAAATAAGGCTCTATTCAATTCAAAAATTACCCATCAAATCAAATTTAAATATCTAGCAAGTCCCGAAAGTTGTGAAGTTTTTGTAATTGCTAGATCGCTCCATCACACTATATGATACATTTTTAAATACTGAACTTATCTGCTAGTGATAAGAGAAAGCATTTGTTATAACTTTAACCATCTAATAGTAAACAGACAGCAAAAATTTCATAATTTGTAACAAAAGATTTTTTTACAAGCATAACAAGGGAAATAATTATCAAATTATCATTTGAAACCTTACAGATTAAACAAAGAAATAAACATGAGTGGATACCGCATGAAAACAATCTTTTAATATCATAAATGTGATATATTATTTATTAATCATGAAAAAAATTTTGAGATTGAAATAGTAGGTTTAGGTATTCCTAAGCGTTTTGTCTTCTTTTGTTAGAATTTAAATCATTATAATTTGGGGGACTTCTTTAATTTCGATTGTATTCCACTATAACAGTCAAATAATTTCAATGATGAATGACTTAAAGAAAGCATTCAATGCTTACCGCTGTTATTATATAGTCCAAAGAAATGTTGCGAATAGTGCTCATAAACAATACGATGAAGAAAAAGCAAAAGACCTAGAAGAATACAGACAAGCTCCAGAATGAAAAGTTAAACTATAAAACACAAGGTAATACAAATGGCAACGAATCACAAGCACTAATAGTTATAAATATGTTTAATTTCAGCGCTTTCCGTTAAAGCTATGAAGTATTTTCATACAGGAATAGTAAATATAAATCCACAAAAGTTCACATGAATTTTCATTGGACTCTTAAACAATTGAAAAAGGATAAAGGGTCAACGTGCTTACCATTTACTGATGATGAGTTACCGATAATTAAGCATATGAACAACTTATCATTTCTCAAATTATCACTAGCAGATATTATATACTACAGATCAGTTTGTATAGAACTGCATCGAAATGTTATTCTAATAGTCGTAATCGTCGTCGAAAATTGGCACAGCAAAAATTCTGCAACATTGAAATATCAAACATTATGAATAGATAGGAAAGGAGATTAATATCATGCAGCAATTTTTACCTTGTTTCTTTGCCCTCCTGTAATCAAGGATCTTCCTTTCCGGAGCTTATTTTTTTACGTATATAATTTCATCTTCAAGCCTTCAAATAAAAAAAGAGTCCAGAAGTGAGGGGTGCATTGAGAAAGTACAAACCAAATATATATAAACAAAGGAATCAAACTTATAAAAACAAATTTTTTTACGAAAATCCTTGAAAAGATAAAATAAATAAACCTTAAGGACATTATTCAAGGAGATTTTTCTGTTCCACATAATAAAGACATTATAGAAATATACTATAAATATTTTTATGAAAGACAACACAAAGGAGTATTATATAAATAATATACACTGTTAAACTGGAGAGGTAAAAATATGAATACTAATTAGGAGGTATATAAATAAATATAAATATAAACATATATATATATATATAAATATATTATATAAATGAATAAATAGATATATACATACATCATAAAACAGGTTCATAGCAAACGCATATATCAATACGGACGAAATAATCATGAAAGATGCTACAGCATCAAATTAGCTTAAATGAAATAAATATAGCAAAAGAAGCATACAATTATTTTTTATACATATTCAGTCTTTTTCATAGATAATCCTTTAATTTCATCTTTCTGTCATTTAGCCTAAAACAAACAATGCTCAAGGATATATCTCATCAATTAATCTCTTGAGAAAAAAAGTACAGATTAATCATTTGAATTTTTTTCTACCAGAAAGGGACTGATACACACATTTTCACAAAGTCACTCAACACGTATGTTCAGATTTCAGTACCCTAAAGTTTTGCAGAAAATTCCTGAGCAGATTAGTTATTGATTCGCAAGATCCTCCGGGTTCTTTTTGTTATGAGGAAGTCAAAATTATTTTAAGAATCAGATGGCTGATCATATTTAGTTTTCTGAGTTGAGTTTCCTTGCTCCGATTCCCGTATTTCTTTCCGAAACAATCTACAAGCAATCACAACAATCTATGATTAACTTTTTATGTTCAAATTATATGCAACAAAAGCACAGTCAAAGGAACATGCGTCACTTCAGAATATAGCGCCAGGAGGAAGTAATATTTAATTGTGATAAGTAATAAAATTAAAGTTCATAACAAAAAAAAGAAACATTGATCAATAGTTTATGGAATAAGCTGCAGTGGTAGACTTCTTTTAATTGAAAGACTTTACCTTCAGTTTGTAATACTGCTTTATTTCACCACTTCAAATTATAATAAAAAAGATCCAGTAGCAAACCAAATTTCAGCTTTTGCAACTTGTTTATCCTCTTACTAAATTCATCGGCACAACTTGGAAACTTTTCACATTTCTTAAATCTAACCTATCAATCCTGCACTACTTGAAGCAATATAAAAGAACGAAAAAGCCTTATTTTCTGTAGGGAAATCATAAATATAAGGACATTTACTAATGGAAGAAAATAAAATAAGGAGACAAAATTTTCAAAATCTATGCGTTCATTTGAACCCACTCTGTATCAACGATAAGATAAAGTGAATGTCAGCGCATTCTATGGTACATGAAATATTCAAAAATCCCACTAAATAAGATGAGGATTACTGATACAAGTATCAGTCTTTTGGCGGAATCAGTATCGATTAATGAACTACCATAATAAAATATATAAAACTTGCTGTACTTATAGAAGGCCTACATTGCTTCAAAAAACTCATCATCTTTAGTACAACTGTCGAGCAGCTCTTTTTACTTTCATAGCAAATCCAAACTCTACCAGCATTTTGACTCATTTTAAATTGCAGTGCAATCGAATAGTAAATGAAAAAACATTAAACGAATCAAAAACATTAGTAATTGTAAATGATGGTCTAAAAAAATGAATTCCAAGAAAGAGAAAATGACTTACCGACTTATCAAAGTATCTTCGAAACGGCTTTTCTCAGCAATTTCGTTTTGATCGCTATCATCAATTACTCCAATTTTACAAAGCGATTCCGGTTCCGGTGACAGCAAACGACTATCTACATTTGATAACATGACTGCATCTTCATATGATAAAGCATTATTGGTTGTCAAGCTCGGCAATAATCTAAAAGTACATTATATAAAATCAAAATGCATATTCCGCATCCGAAAACTGTGACAAGCATTAACAAGAAGCTTTTTAAAATCCATTATACTAAATCTCAATAGTTACAATAACATCAGCTCTTACTTTGATCTTAAACTTTTGTGGAACGTCATTTCTTCCCAGCTTAGATAGCCTTTCGCCTTTGATTCGGTGTCTTTCTCGATTTCCAAGCGACATGTCTGTTCTGAAAAATGGAATAACTAAAAATATTTTTGTAAATATATGATTATAACAAACGTTATAATATAATTTTTGAGTCTAATCGTAAGATCTCTCATTGCATTGTTTCGCCACACTATAAATAACGATCAAAAACATTCATTTAGCTTATGAGAAAGATGTATTAATTGCTCATATACATATACCTATACCACTATATATATATAATTCATTTATTTGCAATAATAGAAAATTCCAGCTTCAAATGCTGCTCACCTTTGTATTTTACATATTCATCCCAAGTTTTCTTCGAAACTTGTGCACGTCGTACTGACTTAGAGTGAAATTCCCATATAGTATTGTCTTCAAACTTTTCCACGATCGAAATTACTCGAGCATTTTCATTTTCGGCAGCTCGAATTATTCTTATTCCAATAAGTAGTATCACTTGCAATTGCAAATATGGCACAAATAAACGACCCATTAACAAAAAAATCGGTGGCTCTTTCTCGATCCAAGATCTTCGTGTTAGTAATAACTTTATAATGTTTCAGTAGTAGAATCGGAATTGTCACTTCTTATCCATTTTAATCCTTTGTATATAGCTACTGACTTCTTGTCAAATGGGAATGTAAATCGTTTCAGGATGGCAATAATCTCCGGAATCGATGTGCGCTGAGAGAATCCGTTTCGTTAGCCTTTTTTGATTCCACATTACCCATTTCCTCTGATAATTATATTAGCTATTATTATATTTGTAATGCGTAAAAATTTCCGATGCGAAGTATTAATTTTCTGAAATTTTATTTACTTCTGAAAAGAAAAAAAAAAGTTAATTTTCATAAAATCAAAAGGTCACGACAACAATATTCGATGAATTTTAGCTGTTTCAATAACTTCACTCTTCATATAGTAATAAATCATACTACTACTAGTTCCTATGAACTAGTCCTATGAAGTTGTCCCAAGCATTATCAGCCTAGTCCCTTATTACACAAATCATCGCTAGAGCCAGTAACTTGGTTAATGAGAATGACATCATCACACATTCGAGTGTTGTAACAGTGATTGCTGCACGTACTGCGCTCCTTCATCCCTCCCGATCGATTTAATAACAACTCGACAACGATGCAAAAAACGCAATGAAATATGCACAAAGCGAGAAGTAGAGAAAAAAAGAAAGAAAGAGAAATGGAAATGAGCGGCATACGCTCGATATGGACGTGACGTGGGATATTTATGGAACTCGTGCGTGAACACGCAGCTACTGATTTCACGTATAAGTTTAGCAAAACGATGTAACGTACTAAAGCAACTAGAAGTTAGTTCTCATAGGTTGCTTAATGAAATGAATAAGTAAGCAAGTTGTCAATTCCACTACACCTCAAAAGTTCAACACGCATGGTCCTCCAACAGCACAACAATGTTTGCATGCAATTCGCAAATAAAGTTTTTCAATACAATGTTTATATGCGACTTGCAAATAAGGCTTCAGTATGATGTTTGCATATGATTTGCAAATAAGGTCTTGACAGCATAACTCAGAAATGTTCTAAATTTTGCTAAAGCTTAGCACTTAGCCATTTCGTTCGTTATTTGAATCAAATTTGTTAGAGTATTTTCAGCTATATCATTTCCGAGATAAGCAGCTATACATCATATAGCAAATTTTCAAACGATTCCGAGAAACAATCGTTATAGTTCAAATTTGATTAAATTAGAATAGATTCAACTAAACGCTATAACTTCACATCAATACCATTTTAGGCCGACCCATCATATTAGCATTTGTTTATTTTTATTCTTCTGCCACTAATCAGTTCGATCTTTGCTTTCTTTTTAGATCAACTGTTAATACTGAACGAAGCAAAAGGTAAATTGTTTTTTTCCTTCTAGAATACATCAATCTGTCATCCATCATATATCACTGCTAGTTTTGATAATTCAAATTTAGTTTATTAAATTAACTTTCAAGTAAATTGAAGAAATACCCTAGCTTTTTCTTCCTATCAAGAATGAAAAATTCTGAGCGATCAGGAAAATTGATATGTAGCACTGGTCAGAAATATTTTATTCCATTTTTTCTTCACTTAACCTCAATATCGGAAATCTATTGAATTTGAGCAATTTGGAATATTTTCCAAAATATCATTTTACGATTTGTTTGAGATGTTGCACTATACCTTTATTCTTAACATTTTTTTTCAACGATAAATATGACAGAATTTCATAAGATTTATTTTATCACAAAAAACTTCACAACTACTAAAAGGGAGGAAAAAAGTTTATCAGTGAATTAATTTTTAAAAAAAATGCAGCAAATACAACGTTAAGGAATTGCATATGCAAAAAGACAGAAAAATCAACCAAACAAAACAATATGAATTTCCAATATTCATATCAAAAACTTATCAAAATAATGTCAGCAGCTGTTAATATTAAATTCAATGGATTAATTAATAATTTAATGAAATTGAAAAATTGAGCTGTGATAAATTTCATTTACGGATTAGACTAAATAATGCCATTGTAATTTTAATTGAAAGCAATATCACTTATCGCTTAACACTGTATAATCCATTGATGTGACGTTAATCTGTAATGTATTTAAACCTAAATCAAATTCGACATTACAAAATCATAAAGATGGTGAATTGATTAGGCAAAATATTCCTTAATAAATTTTAAAACAATAAAATTTAATATAAATTAATGCCAAATCATCACCATCAACAAACTGACACTTACAGAAGAAAGCAAAAACTTTTAAAGCATTTCAATCAATAACTGAAAAGTATAAGTATATTGAAAATAACAAATGAAAAATGATATATCGTATAGAATGGCAGAAAAGATATTCTACACTGTTTGATCATTTGCAATTATCATATCTTAATAGAAATGATATAATTACTTAAACATATAACACTACAACAGTTTCAGGAATTGCTCATGAAATTTAACGGGAAAAAAAAAGAAATAGAGTATCTGCAAAATTACAGAAATTAATCAACCACTCTTAATTTTCCGATTTCCCATATAATTTCCTAAGCTACCTAATTTATCATTCCGAAATGAGTGGAGAATTCCAGAATATAAGCGAAGAATATCCTGAAAAACTTTCAATAATTTTCAAAACGGAAAAATCTCAACGTTTAATCGTAGTGCAGAAATTCAAAATAATTTGCAAAATAAGAAATAATTTTAAGTTAAAAGTCGAAAGTAAAATTATTTAAATGAAATGAACTGAATATGTTTTAAAATTAAGAAGAAAGAATTTTGAAACAAATAATTTACTCATGCAAATTAATAAATGTTGAAAATAATTTAACAAACGGTGAATATATTGATGAGATGAAATTTTTTTCTGAAAAATTAAAGATGACAGATATCGCACTTTAAGATTAAATTTCTTTTTTAAATCCATGTTTTCATATTGCTCTATCACAATTTCATAATTAATAAAATTATAATAATTAATGTAAAATAGTAATAGCATGGTTAGTTCTAGTTCTCATTGTCTGAAATAAGTCATCGATTATACGGAATAATCATTTTTTAACACATTTTGCTATGGTAATATTTCTGTTCCCTAGTAATATCGGAAAAGAAGAAACTGAGCTTTAACAGAGAAAGTTAAATTCCTGCTAAGAAGAGTTATATTTTTAAAAACAAAAAAGGAATTAAAAAATTATATTTGAGGAGAAATCACACGAGGAAAATAACAACAATAATATCAGCAAAAATGACCAGAGCATAAAAATATCATCAAAAATGACCAGAACGTGTGCATATCAATATGCTATTGTTTCAAACCAATTGCCATTAAAAACTAACATCACTGAAATTTTTAAATTAAAAGAAAATAAATTTAAAAAAATGCCAAATTTAAAAAATATCAAAAATATGATTTGAAATTTCTAAAATTTAAAATTGTTGAAAAGAATGTTAAGCAAGAAAGGAAAAAAATTTTTGCAGAATTCAACGAATGAGTAAAAATTGGACATAAAATTTCATATTTGAATTTTCTTTTCATCTGAAAAGAAAGGTAAAGATAAAAATTCTTCAATATATGAAATTACAAAAGGTAATCATATAATGGAAAGAAATTAATTATCATAAAGGTAGAAAAGAAAGTTCTACCTGAATATGCTCGCTTGAATATCCATTCTCGTTTTCACGATCTTTACTACTACTATCGCATTCACTGTTTTGTTCCTCATTACCAGTCTGCAATAATTTTAATCAGAAGAAAAAAAAGAAAATTAAATGAATTCATTATTTTATATTCCTTTCATTTGACATTATTCATCAAAAGCTCCTCGAAGATTATATATTTCACCGCAATCTTTTATAATATATTGTTTTAATTTCACAAAAAAGATAATGCTAATTAGTTAAAGTTAAAAAAAATTTATGACAGACTGTTCATTGTAACCTTTTATCACATACATATAATCTAATCTGAAACATTTCAAGAGAGCAAACCTCTTCGGCGATTACATCATTTGATGTTTTCAGTGATATTGAAGGTGGTTGATTAGAAGCAATGGTTGCAGGCGCTGTAATGCCTGATTCTATGACTTTTGTGGAAGTTACTTGTCCTTCCAGTTCGGCAAGCCATTTCTGATGGTTATGTTTCAGATTGATGATCAATTCCGGTTCTTCTAAACCTGGTAAAACTGGTAGAAGACGTGCTTCATTCAATGCAACAGCTAATGGATTAACGATATGCGAAATGAACGAATCTTGCAATTTGGCAACCGCTGGATCATCTCGATCCATATATGGTGATACCGCCATACCACGTCTTTTCTCTTCATCGCCCTAGAATAAATCTAAAATTTCTTAATCTGCAAAAAAAATCTAAGTAGATCGAGGGAACATAAAAATAAGCCTGTTGAAACATCAAATATCAATTGAAACTATGCTTTCTATTTATAATATTTTTACTTAGTCACTTAATATCTGAGAGATAAATTTTTTTTGTACAAATTACTTAAAATTATTTCACCTAGAAAAATTTATAAACCATTAATTAAGGAAATATGAATATAGCAGATTGGATCAATAAAATATTTCAAATTAGATACCTGACCATAAAACTCTTCACAAATACGATCGGTCCATTGACGATGAAGTAAATATGGTTTAGAAGGACTATTGACATCAGCAAATTTAATGAGCATCTGTGAAATGATCACACGATCTGATTCATTACCTAAATCCATATCTGGTGCTTTTTCATTAAATTGCATTATGATATCAAAATGTAGCTTGAGATCAGTGGCAAGGATATATTCCAATACAAGATATCTGCAAATAAAAAATAAATTCTCAAAATTCATCTCTTTCAGATTGTTATAGATTGATATTATTAACAGTACAAGAATATATCTTATATTTGTATAATTATAATAATAGTAATTATAGCAGAGTAAATGAAGAACTAAATATAATTTAGTCATTTAATTTTCTTCATTACAATTAATTCTATATGAACAATGCAAAATTTAATTTATAAAATTATCTGCCAATTATGCAATAAACTTAATGGCAGCTAAAAAAATACAAGAAATCAGAAAATTAATAAAATACCTAAATCGTTTCGTCTCAGCGGCATCTAATGTTTCAATAAAAGAATTTTCTGGTTTCGATAAAAGACGCCATGATTCAGCAGCATGATGATTTTCTAATACTGATCGATCATTGTATAAAATAGCCTATAATATATTGATTTTAACTATAAATTTTAAATTCATTCCATTCAAATTGTATATTAAAAATTTTTTTCATTTCTATCTCTATTTTAGTTGGAAGAAAAAATTCATACTAAATAATTAATTAATAGTAATTGAGTTTGATTCATTAAATTAAGGCAAGTAATAAGATTAATGATTTGAAGAATTTCTTTTAGAGCCCTACTTTCCTTATCCCATATAAGAAGAAATACTTCTAAAAATTTAGCTAATATTTACACACCGAAGATTAAGAGAAACAACAGTAAAAAAATCCAGTTGCTAAATTATGGAATTGAATTATTATTATTACAATTATTAATTCTAAACTAATCCTTCTATCACTTATAAATTATCTATTCAACAGAGCAATCTATTCAAATGATAAAGTCAAACATTTCAATCTCTCCAACTGTCACAAAAATTCCACAAAGCCTAAATAACTTTGGTACTTTGCATCTCATTTATCTACAGCAAACTTTTTTGTTGTCAAAAAATGTTGTTTCATTACATTTGCAATTTGAAATAATTACATCTGCAAAGTGACTTGCTAAAATGAATATGAAATGCTAAATTGGATAGTTTCATATTGTTGATTTTTTGCGCTTATATATCAATTAGGCGCATATGTCATTCATTATATATATATATATTTATGTATAGACAGATATATCTTTCTTCATCTATTAAAGACAGAGTAGATTTTTGGCATTGAAAAAGAACGATTTGCAATAACGGAAAAAAATGGAACAATAGAATTAGAATGAATTGTGAAATTATGAATTGTTGAGTTTTGGTTAATTAATTTGATATATAATTAGAAATTTTTCCGCAATTGACAGACCTGTTGATGTGAACAATGAATAGATCACTCTAATTATTAACTGAGGAAAAAGCAGTATTTTTAAATTTACAATTTTAGTTTTCATAATTAAACTTTGAGATTATTAAAATGAACTTTTTTATCTTCAGCTGCAACAAGAAATGCATTTGTGCGACCCGGATGATCGTAGTCGTGCATTGCTGCCGCAGTAAATAAAGCCATTAGCTAAAAACAAAAGTTTTTTTTTCATAGTTATCAAATATTTTAATCTAAGTTTTCCTAATAAAATTACATTAAAATGTATTGCAAATAATTATACAATTTAATATTATGCAACTTAACAATTCACATTAATTTCAAAAAAATAGAAAAATAAATAATAATTCATAGAGAAATACTTAAATATCTAAAAACTATTCTATTGGAACAATATTTTCTATCAAAATAAAACTTGAAATAGTCTTAAATTTTGATATAATTTTTATTGCATATTGTGCTATTTGTTTTCTTTTGAATAAACTACGAAACTACTGGAAGAAAATTTCATTTGTCTCTTTGGTTAACAAATTTCACGGATGTAAAGGATTGTGTAATCAGGAAATAGCGGAAGTAACTGCAAAATAAATCTTTGCAAGACTTAGCTCAAAACGAAATTACTGAGAAAAGCCATTTCGAAAATATTTTGATAAGTCGGCAAGTCATTTTCTCTTTTATGGAATTCATTTTTTTAAACCATCATTTACAAATTGTGCTAGCGTAACTTCAAAAGAATTTTTAAGTTAGTGAAAGAAATCAAAATGAATTTTAATAAAACATACTTCAAGTGTACTCATACTGCTTAAGAGAGGTAATGGAGAATTATCAGAAGGTTCGGAACTATTGGCTGGTATATCCAGGAACGCACAAACTGGATGACATGTCAAATAATGGCACCCGTGTAACACGTCTGCTGCATGTATACGATTATGATCTACAATATTAAACATTTGAAAAATGTTATCAATAAATGATCTGCTGTAATTATACATTGTAAATGAAAATTACAAATAAATATCGTATATGGAAATTGAATTAAAAAAAATTGATTTATTAGTAGAATTTACTTACAAGGAATGTCCCAATACCCGCATTCCAATGAATGAAAGAAATTAAAAAATTTATTTGGTGATAATTTGAAAATCCGGAAAAGGCTATGTTCTCTGAATATCGAATAAGCTATCTGAAATGTAAAAATTTTACTTTTAAATATATCAAAAAAATATTTCTAAATATAGCAAAATTATAGCTACAAATTATAATTTCATGATTTAAACGAATATTTTATGTGAAATGAAATTATGCATGCATTTTAATAGATATCGGCAGAATGAAAGATTATTTTAAAATTCATGTTAGAATTTTAATTACTTACTAAATTTAATAATCATTCAAATTAAATCTTTTCGATGTATTAAAAATTACTTGAAAATTCCTAAGTGAAAACTGTTATTTTATTAATCTCTGATGATTGTAAAGTTTATTCAAAAAAAGAAAGAATACCCTGCTAAGTGTAGTTTTTGGATGTCGTTCAGCAAAATGAAAAATAGGAAAGGCCCATTCGGCAATCCTTGCCAATTCATTATCTGAATTCAACTCCGTGCAACTGTAATTTGTACCATCTGGCGTACGTATCACAGAATTATCAAACTGTTCCAAACTACAAAATATTGTTACTTAACATAAATGATTTTACCAAATCTTCGAAGTTCATAATGTTTGATTTCAATTTCAAAAAATTTTTCAAATCGTACTTCAATGATATGATAATGTGAAAGAACTTTTTTTCCATTCAATATTAGCAATAGAAACGTAAACTCTCTATTTTGTCGGTATATAATTTCTAAAAATAAAATAAAATTTTATAAGAATACCTTGTGCACGCCGCTGTGAGTATATCAACTTCATCATCCTGCGTGTTTCGATTATTTTTAGATTTTCTAATCAATATCGTATCCTCCTTTTGTTTTTCTTCACATATAAATGAATTCATTAGAAAAAAAATTTAAATAATGACTTAAATTAATAAAAATTCAAATAGGGAAAAGTGGAAATGATACCGTTTAGTATGCTAGAATCAGTTGTAGGTGTATTGGATGTTTGCGGCTGGAGGTAATGTTTATTCTGCAGATTAGCGCCACTTTTACAACTTTCACGATCCGGCTGCTTCCAATAGCTATAAAAATCAATTTCACTTTCCAAAAAATTATTATATTAAAATATTTAATTAATTTCAATTAATCACAAGAAGAAATTTATGAGCTCTAACTTTTGTTTACTTCAATGTAAAATCACTAAGCAAAATTATCACTATAATTAATCCATAGCAAAGAGCAAAAGTTGTTGCTAACCTGCTTGATCGTGGCCTAGAAGGCTCAGCGGCAATTGTTGGTAATCCAGTAGCACTTGTTACTGTAGAAAATGTTATATTTGAAAGACGTGGCTTTGAGGCCTAAAACATTAACATTTTTTTAATTTACGAGAATTCAACGAAAACAACTATTTCAGTCCAATTTTCTTAGCAAACTTTTTATGTCAAAAATTTCCTTCTCATTTTGCATAAGAAAAGAAATTAATTTTATTTCAAAAAATCTTTTACAAATTATCAATGAAAATATTAATCATTATTTTCAATAATAACTTTATATTATTGATCAAATAAACAAAAAGAAAAAAATTAATTATTATCATAATTATCAATGAATTAAGAATTATCAATGAATTAAGAAATAAAAATTAAGCTAATTTATTATCAGTAATGAAAAATAGTCCAATGAATCATTTGTTGCAATGATAAATAGTTCAATTAAAAGTAAACATATATTTGAATGAGAATACATTCATTTAGAATACTGTTGTTAGCCTGTAGTGTTGAAAAGAAAAAAGATTAAGAGAAGTTACTTTATGATTATAATGATATCTTACTTATGATATAGCAAAGTAATCAAGCGAGTGATAAAAGATATTGATTAATATAAAATAAATAAATGAGAATTTTCAAGAAGTAATTAATTGATAAATTATCAATCATTTTGTGATTTAAATTTATGAAATTTCAATGGAAATAATTTTTTATAATTCTTTTTTTAAGTTACACATAAATATAATTAATTGAAATATATTTTTGAATAATTCCACTTTTGTTTTTTACATTTACAAATTATATTTTAGCTCAATTCTTCGGCATACATTCAAAAAATATTTAATTTTTTTGTATTTTTCTTTACTTCCTCATGCCTCTATCAAGTTTTTGTTTTTCTTTACTTCCTAACGACTCTATCAATTTTTTATTTTTTTTCACTTTCTCATGCCTCTATGATTTTGTATTTTTCTTTATTTCCTAATGACTCTATTAATTTTGTACTTTCTTTAATTCCTGACGCTTCTATCAATTTTGTATTTTTCTATTTTTCTTTAATTTCTGATCCTCTGTCAATTTTGTATTTTTCTTTATTTCCTGATGACTCTATCAATTTTATATTTTTCTTTAATTCCTATTGATTCTATTAATTTTGTATTTTCTTTAATTCCTGACGCTTCTGCCAATTTTGTATTTTTCTTTAATTCCTGACACTTCTATCAATTTTGTATTTTCTTTAATTCCTGATCCTTCGTCAATTTTATATTTTTCTTTAATTCCTACTGACTCTATTAATTTTGTATTTTCTTTAATTCCTTACGCTTCTGCCAATTTTGTATTTTTCCTTAATTCCTACTGACTCTGTCAATTATTTTCATATATGTCAAATAAAATTAAAAAACTAAAATTAAAAGAAAAAAAATTAAATAAGAGAAAATGATGACTCATCAAATGAACTTTGGTCTCTTACGGATTAATATAAGTTACTGATTGTTTGAAAAAAAAAGTGATATATATGACGACAAACGTCTGAGAATAAGGAAACTTGGCAAGGCTTTTCTTTTCTTTGAAATATATTTAATGCCATCGAAATGCTAATTCACTTCATTATTCATTAGCATGCATAAGCATGCATAAGTACTAATCTCTTTATAAAGCAAATATAATGGGAGCATTATATTTGTAAGTTATAAGAATATGCAAGCGAAGAAAAAATCGCTGTTACATAAGCAAATTATATTGGCATAAAAAGCATTTAAACTATAAAATTAATTATTAAGCTAATAAGATGGAATGATATATAATATTGAGCTTATTATTTATTAAATAAGCTATAACAAATAATGAATAAGAAAAATCAAACAAGTTATCCGATGATAACAAATATTCTTAAAGAAATGTTTTCTTTGATCTCGTGATATATATATAAATTCTCGAGGAAATATCCCCCCTCTTCTGAATGCCTTACGAAATATGAAATAATTAATTATATATTGCATAATAGAGGTGAAATTGACTTAATTAAAATTAAATTTCTAAATCAAACTTTACTAGGTTTTAAATCCGAAAAAAAACAAGGGATATTTGATAAAAATGTTTGTTGCAAAAAGTTACAAAATCTTATTAAATAATAAAAATTGGCTGAATGAGATAATTATGTTTACTGCTATTCTTATCACATAGCATACTTAAAATTAATGAAAGCTGTCAATAAACTGAAAAAGAATCAAATTAATTGAAACAACCAATATATTTCGCCATTTTCTTCCTTTTCAACATGTGAATGAATAATAAGAAAACTTTCAATGGTTTATTTAAATGATTGTGAATGAATAGGAAGGAAATGAGGTGGCGGCTATTTCACGACAGCTGATTAATGATCGTTCTGACGTAATCATTTCCAATACCCCTTTTTGCTTGTATCATTTCTATTATCCCATTTCCCTGGCTTTCATAATAAAAATAACATTGCCTGATTTCATCTGATTTCTTCTCTCACAATTTTCATTCATATTATTAAACGGAATTAATACATTTATTTTCCGGATTCAATATCATTTACTTTCATGATACATTTACTAATTATATGTTTGCTAACTTTTGTCTAAAATAATACTTTAAGCTAATCTATCTTTGCTGATTTATTAACTGACAATCAGAAATGAATATTTTTACATTGTGATAGTAGTTTTGATAGATGAAGAAATTTTTAAAAATTTATTTTGCTAAAAGAGAAAACAGAAAATTCTTGAAAAACAAATTCCTGAACTTTAAAAAAATTCAAGAATCTTCACTTTGAAAAACAAACATTCAGCAAGAATTTTTAAAAATTGAAATATCCTTCTCAATATATCTTTCATCTTGTAAAAAATAGTAAAAAAAAAAATGCCGAGCTTATCATAAACTTAAATATTTCTTATCAATTTTGTTACAACTTATCAGTAAATGATATTAAAAGATAAAAGAAAATGAATTATGATAGATAAAAATTTTATATCGGATAGGCTGAAAGGCTTAAGTAGTACAATTTGTGGTTTAAATTTCACATGTTTTCAGGTAGATTAATTAAAACATGTTTTACCTTGATAAATTTTCATTCTAATTGCTACTATTGAGAAAATGGAGCTACAACACTTTAAAATACAGGATACTACACCTTAAATTGAAATATAGGATACTACACCTTAACATCATATTAAATGATAACTGAAATTTACAATGGACTTAAAAAGATTGTAGTTGAAATAAAAATGACATATAAGACAATAGTGTATAAAAACTTTAATTTGGAGATTATATTTTTAAAAATGAAAGATTTCAAATTCCATTCCGGTTACTAACGTTACTAACTAAACTTATGTAATATTCAAGAATTCATTACATTTACTAATCCATCTGTCATAATGTTGGAAACTTTTTTCCTTAGCAATGATATCCCGTAAAATTGAAAAAATTATCAGTTCATAAAATACATTCTTTCTTTTTCAAAAGAAAGAATGTTATGAAAGAGAAACAAAATTACACATTAAATCTTTGCCATATTTTATCATTTAAAGAATACAACAGAAAAAGACTAATGATATTTAATCGTAATGATATGAAATTATCAGTTAAAAAGAAGCTTTCTTCTATTGAACTAAATTGGGTACAACTAAATTCGATTATTTAATTAATATTCAATCTTTCGTAAACTTTGATTTTAGATTTTATAAAAAAAAAGTATAATTGTGATTTTTTAAATTTAAGCTACATTTACATTCGATTTTCATTTAACCTTACAATGTCAACTTTGCCCGGAGAGGAGCTTAAGAAAGCATTTGATAAAGAAGGCAATAATATTTTACACTCTTGTTAAATCAAAATGTTCAAATTTCAACTTCAACTCTTATAATGATGAATTTTAGTCGATTTTAAAATAAGCTTCAGCTTAATGAAACAAATAAAAAGGAATATGATACATTGTTTCAACGAAAGGATGTGTAATCTGATAATGAAAAGAATATCAAATGATATAAGAAGATAAAAAATAACATTTGAAAGAAATAAAATTTGAAAACAAGAATATAAAAGATAACGACGCCAAAATTCGATTTTAAAATATTCTTTTTTTCTGGAAAGTTTTGAAACAAACCGGCGAATAAACGATAACAACATGATCGCAGTATGGACAGCATGAACAGCGACAGATTTGATCACAATGACGACATTCTCCAATAAGCGGCATTTCACTTGAAATAGCTGACCTAGAATGTGTCAACTGACCGGGCCACAACGAATTATTTACTCGTGGTATTACCTCGGAGCAGCTTCGAATCATTGTTACATTTTGCTCGTGTAATTGGTGTAGAGAATTATTTAACAGTTTACCATCATCTAGTGCTTCACCTTTGGAAATTCGACGTGAAGCTGATGACATTTTTGAGGAAGTTTTCCGGAAAGACTTCAAAAAAATTCAAGCGACAGAAATTTCTATCTAACACTTAGTTCCAGAATAGTAAGCTATGCAAAATAGAAAATTCCTTTTTAAAATTTATAGCTTGAATTAAGTAAAATTTTATTTCCTTTCTTTTGCAGAAGGCAGTTAGTTGAAAATCCCAATTTATATGAAAACAGAAATTATCATTGTATACAGTTCAAATTAGATTATATCCGAAGAGAAAAGAATAGTAGTTGTTTAATAACCGCAGCTGAGAACAGAAAAATCAGTCAAAGCTAGTAGTCCGAGCCATTAAGCTTTGCAGCTACTAAAATGAAATATAGACAGATAGGTGTGCCTATGAGAAAATTGAGTGTTGATGGGCACACATACATAAATACGTATATATATATATATATATAATATTATTGAATTTCATTCCTGAAGAATATCAAACATTAGAAAACATTAAGGAACAAATTTTTTAAATAAGCAAATTAAATAGTAATCATTAAATATTTATTGCTCATAATAAATTGATTTTTTTTTTAATATTTCATTTCAACTTATTTCAAAATGAATTAAACAAAATTATTAACTATTATCAGAATAATATGAGAACATTATTAACAATAAATAAATGATTGCTTTCATAAATGTAGTAGGATAATGCAATAAACAACTTTAATTACATCTTAATTGTATTCTTTTTGCTTATTAAGGTAGAGTAAGAGTAAGTTGGAAAATAACAAATCATCGGTTGGCAACAATTTTTATTTTATAATGATAAATTGTAAATATTACTATTACTCACAGTATTAATTATTGGTAATGAATGAGTGAGTAAATGGAAAAATTAGTTTTAGTCGAGATAATGAGATTTTTTTAATTTCTTCAGCATTGCATGAAAATTGAATTTCTTTATAAATAGATTAGTGTGTGTGTGTGTGTAAACTATACTTGACAACTTTCTAAGATAACTAAGTAAAGTTTTTATTTATGACTGTAATAAAAACTATTCAAGTTAATTAACTATTACTGATACTGATAATCTCTACGTGGAAATATGGCAATTTCAATATCAGATAAAAGGTGTTAAAAAGTAAATTGATTATGAAAAGTAATATTTAAAGAAAGAAAAAACATATGAGAGAGGTGTAATGGGAATTGGAAAAATTAACAGTAGCAGTTGATAGCAACAAAACTATGCTTAGAAGATAAAGTTCGTTAAAGTCCGTTTTTTGTTTTTTTGTACAGAATAAAGTAGAAATTAATTGGAAGCGAAAATTGTGAAACACTGATAATAAGCAAACACAAAGCCAATCTAATACACATTCATTTTCATTTGATCAACTATGAAACTTAATGATGAAAAAAGGCTTCGTTTATAAGTGTAGAGAGAAAAAAAGAGTAAGAGAAATGGAAAGGGAAGAAGGAAAGAAGGAATGAAAAGAATAAAGAGAAAGTATTTTAGGTAAGATATAAGTAATATTTATTATTCATTATGTTCAATAAATGTTTTGTTTCGAAATGAAAATAAAAAAGCCATAAATCATGAATAATGATGAGGGTAATTATCGTTGCATACATATATTGTGGCTTATATGTTTGTCATATGATAAATGCATTGATCGTTTTGTGTCGTAAAGAATAAGTTTTAAAATTTTAATGATCTGCTATCATTAACTACTGATCAGTATGATAAGCTACTTAAGCCAACTTATCTTATTATTAATATACAGTAATGATTTATTACTATAATAACAGTTAACCATTAGTTAATGAGGAATGATAGATAATAATAATTATTATCATTAACTAATATTTATTATTTATTACGATTATTATTATTCTCATAAAATAATCTATTTGATATGAAAGCTTAATGCTAAAACAATAGGCCAATTCATTCAATGATATGAATGATTATAAGAGGAGAAAGATAACAAAAAGAAATGATAAATTATATCTTATCTACTGAATGCGATGTGTGTAAGTTTATTGATAATTCTTCAACTCTCTTCATCACATCCCTCTTTTCTCTCTTTTTATATCTATCTTTTCTTTTCGCTTTCATTTCATTCTCAAATTTTTTACTTTCCACCTGTTTCATCACTAACTCTTAATGATGATGAAATCTTAAATTTCGCTTATATGAAAAAACCACAACTAATGACATCATAATGATATCATATCACTAGCAATTTCTTTTTGAATTTACTAACTGATATATTTAATCTATTACAATGGAATTGTTATGCCCACTTTTGATAATTCAATTTCTACTGCCGGATACTTTAAGAGTGAAAAAGATGGACATTCTGACAACTTCATAAATGAAAAGCAGCGATAGTCTACACTGAGGAAATTTTCCGCATTGTCGTCCTATTCCCTTAGTTCATCATGTTCGGAAAAAAAATATTTAATTTAATAAATATAAACAAAGGCAGCATTAATCCTACCCAAGTTGAGCGATGTTAAAGAATGATCTGTTTCAGAGGCCTTAGACCAAGAATAGATCGTTCAATGATAAGTTTATTATCATTTACTACTGATTAATATGTACTACTCGAATCTATCAAGAGAATCATTTTTATAGTTAGGAGATGAGATCAAACTGTGATAAATAGGTCACTCATATATTCAATCAAGAAAATGGTCAAAGTATTATTCATTTGCAAAAATCATTTACTTTTAAGATCCAAATTTCCTCCTCCTTTTAATAGTAAATTCGAAATTATTGAAATTTCAACGAAATTTAGTCAATTCCTTTCATTTTCTTTGTATATTTTTTCACTCATTCAGTTTAATCTTTCAAACAAATAAAAAGCTAAGTCTTACAAAGATTTATTTACAGCTTCTTCCGCTATTTCCTCCTGATTACACAATCTTTTACATTCGTGAAATTTGTCAACTAAAGAGATAAATGAAATTTTCCGCCAATAGTTTCGTAGTTTATTCAAAAGAAAACAAATAGCACAATATGTAATTTACAACATTGTAGTGAAATTTTTTGAAATTAAACAAAAATTCAAATAATACTAGCTGAAAAAGTAAAATTATTTTTGAATGAATAAAATAAATATTGCACATTCGATTTTACATTGATTTATATATTTAAATGACTACAAGAATGAATGATATGAAGTTGGCAATTCTTTTTTTTTCAACTGGTAACAATAAATCACGATCTTCTTACTAAGCCTCACTAACATTCTATGAAATTAATCGATCCATTTTATTTTAATGACGAATGCAAATATATATATGTATGTACCATTTTTTCTCAATTACAAAATCATGATCTGTCTCCTCTACAGACTATATTTCCTTTTATTTTATAGTTTCGATTCAATCACGCGAAAAGAAAAATTTTTTTCATTATTTGCATATATTTGTATATGACCTTGTCATATACAAATATATACACACCGATGAAATAGTTTATGATGTATCCAACTGAACTATAAAAAATTCCTTAATCTTTTATTTGCTTAGGATCATAATGAGATTTACTATTAAAAAATAAACAAATAATTATATGGTCCTGAGCTAATGAATAAATGACCTTCTGATGACATATAAAAGATATTTATATCATTACAATAGTGATTTTGCAAATTTTAAAATTTTTATACTGAAGAAACTAACCGCTGTTGCCATTATCATTTGCAGTTAGATTTGAATATTTGAATTCACTGTCTAATGAAGTAGAAATATAACCATAAAATATGTAGAAAATGATCAGTGAACCATCATATTAATCAGTTAAATTTGATTTAACGAAGAAAATGAAATATTGAAATTATTTATTAATGAGAATAGAATATTCAAACTGTTTTCCCCAATAATCAATTCTGCTATGACATGCAAGAAAAAAAACAGTAAATTCATTGATTGATAAGTGATATGATAATGGAATAATCGATATTCTGGAAGATATTTGAGATTATAGAATTGTTTCTCGATCGATGGATCAAATTAATGATCAGCAATGTCGGAATATCTACATTTTATCTAATTTCCTACAATTATATAAGGAATACTGTGAAAAGGAAATGACAAGTTTGTACATTCGATAAAAGCATATGTAAATTTTAGACAAAAGTGTCATAGTTCTCTTTTCAAACATTTTCAAGTGTATAGTGACATAAAAGATTAATTGGAAACTGGAAATCTCTGTAGTATTTCCTTTCCACACGATGGATGAGTGAGTCATTGCGTCATTTAAGCAAGTTAAAATTACTTGGATGGAAATAAGTATTATGAGATAAGAAATGTAGAAAAATTAGAATTTCGTAGAGAAATATAATTTTGAATATTCTTCAGAAGATATTATAGGGCAACTTTATGGAATTAATAAAATTTAAATTCTAATTTGTTTACTTAAAATATGGATACGAACGTATTTCTTTCCATCTGATATTAATGAAAACAAAATTTTACTAACAGCAAAAAATATTTAGAAACAAATATTTAGAGTATCTCTTTCATATACTGTTATATATGTCGAAAATGAATAATGTTGGTTACAGCAATGCATATTATAAGGATGATGCGAAAGGACCGTATCCGGTTGCAGATATGCAATAATCAAAAATGCATAATTAATAGGTATGTAATAAAAAGTTCTTTTTCTAACTTATCCATTCTTTTTAAAAAAATAATATTCCATTAGTTTCTCTATTCAAAATATTATCAATTAAAAAAAAAAAATTTTAGTAGATCAACTTAGCGTATAATAATATCAGGTCAGATATTTGCTGATCCTTATTGGCAACATATCACTTCAATTAACAGTGATCACAATTATTAGTGATAAATTTCGAGAAAGGTTAAATTGATAAAAATTTCTCAAAATTTTCAACAAACTGATATACTACCCATTTGTTGCATTAAAAAAATGTTTGAAGAAAAATTTTCTTTTCAAGAATAATTATGAATTTTAGGATATAATTATTATGTAAAGAATAAAATAATCTTTTTTAGCTTATCCATTTCTGATCAATTTTTAAAAGCAATTGAAGAAATATAAATGTGAGTGATGGAATTATTGCCTTAGTGAATCATTATTTTTGTAAGTGTAGCAAAATCTGTCCAGAATTTCAGCTTAACTCAGGCATATACATATTTGCTCTTCGATGAGATTTACAAACAAACAAACAAATGCAGTCCTCACTTTTGTGACGTAAGCAAAATAAAGATTGTATCAAATCATTTGATATTCTCACTAACTAATAAATTCATTTTTTAATTTCCATTTTTAAAATCTATAAGATTTTAAAACTTTTGTTTTATCATAAATAAACAGAGGGATATTTGTTTGTCTATAAGGAAGGCAATCATTTCAACATTTCAACGAAAATCTTTCACAGCGATATTTACAACGATAATTAATGAAAGGATTAAAATAAAAGTTTAAAATATCGAAGTTGAAGAGAACGAAAAAAATAAAAATATTGATTTTTGGATTATTTTTATCAATTACTTTGATTTACTTTTGAATGTTTCGATTTAAAATATTTTCAGAACGAAAGTGTAAGCTCAGATATATGCCCTTTAACCTTTCGTTTTTTTCTTTTATTCGTTTCTTTTGATTTCTTTCTTTTTGTTTATTAACTAATTTATCTTTTAGACACCAGCTACTAAAATATTTAACAGAAATTAAACAGCTAAAAAATTAAATTTATTCACTTTCAAAATTTTTCAAATTAAAAATAACCGAGCTCATTTCCATTTAATATAAATAATTTGTCAGCAATAAGTAATTTCTTATAAGTAATAATAATTAATTTCTAATAAATTTAATTTTTAATAATATTTCTAATATTATTAATATTTCATTTTAATAATAATAATTTTTAATAATATTTCTAATAAAAAATTAATTTCTAATAATTAGTAATTAATTCTTTAAAATTCACAAAATATAAAATATAACTTATTTTTTGATAGTTTTATCTAATTTATTATAATAATAAATTTGTATTTTTCTATAATTAAAAAAAAATCTGTGAAAGCTAATAATTCAAAAAGGCAAAAAAGTAAAAAATTATATTTAAATTCTCAATTTAATATTTTTGCAAACATTTTCCTTCAAAAATGAATTCGAATTAATTAATATGCATGTGAAGAATTTCCATAAAATTCAATATTTTCATGTGTACTTATTTCAGTGATTGTTAATTAGGCATTTAACAATTTTCTTTTTAACGAAAAGCCATAATCACATCATCTATATATGTATGTATGTGTGTGTTTGTGTGTATTGAGTTAATGATAAAGATGTGCTACTGCTAAAGAAGTAAAAATATACATTTAGCAAATATCTAAAGGTCAATATTCCTGAAATTGCTTAAAAAGATAAAAGAAAAAAGGTAACCGTGGCAATGACAAGTTGTTCACCGCTGAATGGATTCTCAACGACCATCGGAAGACCAAAATCAAAGTGTAAATTGATCGATGGCTGTAAAATTTGAACATTTATCATACGATTAAATAAATTAAAGTATCAGCGACGAATAACAAAATTTCTCGTTTTCATTTTTCTTATAAAAAAGAAAAAGATTTCAATTTAATTTTTATAAATTAAAAAGAAATGTATTGATGATAAAATTGAAATATATTATTAGTATGAAACAGATATGTACATATTCGAATGATGAAGTGATGAAGTGAATGATGAACTAAACTTGTAAAAATGTACTATCAAAGTACTTCTTCATCAAATGAACTATTATTGTAAGAGAATAGGAAAGAGAGAGAGTGAAAAAGAGAAAGAGAAGAAGGGGATAAAGTAAAATTATGAAAATGAAAGAATAATTTGTCGCATTATGTAATTGATATTGTATTGATAAAAGCTTAGTTGTGATATTTGATAAGATGATAATATGAATGATATATCGGCATTTATATTGATTGCTTGGAAGTTTTACATTTGAATATTATCAATACAATATCAATTACATAATGCGATTATCATCCATATTATCATTTTATCAAATATATCATTAAGAAAAGAATTGGTAGTGTTGAATTAAAAATTTATTTGATCGTATTATAACAATTTTTTTGGAAGATATAAATCAGATTAGTAATTATTATAAAGATTAAATATGCAATAATCAATAATAGATGGATATTTCCTTCCCAATAATCCTTTTTTTATTATAAAATTTTATTTTACTTAAAATTTTTGATGCAAAAAATTCGACAAAAGAAAAGAAAACAAACTGGTTGAGGATTCAGTAAAGTAGCCACTGCTTTCAATCCTGAAACAACCGTTGGCGGTAAATTCCTATCTGCTAACATTTCTGCGACAAGTCCACGAGCTTCTATCAGATTATTTTGTAACTGAAAAAAAAGAACCGAAATTTACTATTTCATAAATTAAGCCATTTTTTTTGTTAGAAATGTAAATATATAAGATAACAAAAGAAAAAACGATCAGATAAGAAAGGAATATTAGTGTAGAAAATATGAATTAATAGTGAAATTACTTTTAAAATATTAATTCAATTTCTTTTAAATAATCATATTCAATGATATGAGAGAATGACAAACACTGACGAAAAGATAATTTAAAAGAAGAGAGAAAAGAATAGGAAAGATTTCTATCATCTAAAAAATACTTGAAAATCAATTTAAAATTGAAAATGAAATTTTTAATATGACAAAAATTAAATTCTCGCTACTACTTCATGCGATAAAATTATAAGACAAAAGATCATTTCAAATTGGTTTCTAATTGAAATTGAAGGAAAAAAGTGGGCTGTGTGTAGCGGAAGGAAAAAAAGATTCATTTCCGGCACTTTAAACTATCATTTCCATTTTATATCAATTGCCATATGTACCAATTTCATAACAAAAATTACTCAATCAATGAAATTAAAATTGTGGAACGTTGAAATAGCAGCAAGCAATTTGTTCATTAATTTATTAATTTTTATAAAATTGATTTGTGATAATGAAATAATGTTCTAATGTAACAGCTATAAATAAGCTAAGAGTTCATATATTTCAAAATGAAAAGTTAGTTCAAACTGAAGTTCAACTGAACAAGTTCTTGTTAAAATTTACAGAAATTAAAAATTTTGAACTTTAAAAATTCATTAAAAAATTTTAAGAGAAATTTGATTTCAAAGCAAAAAAAGATCGAATTGTCAGTTTTCTTCTAAAAAGATTAGTATCATAAATATTTGATGATACCAATCTCTAGAAAAAGCGATATTTATTAATTCTTTCAATGAAATTTAATTTTCTTTATTAAAAAGATGTGATAAATCATTCCTATTAAAATGAGCAGGGAATTCAATGATAATTGATAAGATATTCAAATTTATTGCAACTTACAGCAGCTTTATTGGCGGCAAAAGCATTCGAACCAACAGGTAGAGAGGTTCGTCTTTGACGCAAATTACTTCTTTTTTGTAAATCGTTATCCTCGGTTGCAGCCAGCCTATTGAATGCTAATGAACCAATTGAACCTGTTTGTAATTCAAATTGAAATGTTGCTTTAATGAACATCAGAATAAATTTGGCTTATTCATTTTACATATTCAAATAAGTCATATATAAATTGTTCAATCGATAAATAAAGAAGTATGATTATCAAAAAAGAAAAAATTGATTTATTCATAGATCATTTAATTCTTCAATATTTCTAATTACCTTTTTTTTTGCTTACTAATTATTTTGTGTTTTATCATTAATTCACTGACCAATAATTTGTTTTTGATCAATTAGGTTTTTGAAATTGAATAAATTTGCATACAAATATGCATGCAAATAAAATGCTATTAAAGCATATAGGCTGTCAATTTTTATAGCAAAGATAGTAAATTGCACAGTTTTGCTTACATATATCAATAGTTCAATATATAAAGCATAATAAAGTATGAAAAGTACGGAATCATTTTTAAATGAAATGTTTAAAAAAAAGGAGAAAAATATTTCAACAGCAAGTTTACAGATTAGTTGGTATGTTTTGTTGCGTGATATAGGAATAGAGATAAATACGAATTATGTAATAAAAATAAACCTGTCGGTATAATAGTAGGTTGATCGAACGATACACGAGTACTGATAGACATAATGGTTGGTGATAAATTACTACTTCCGTCTATTATTCGTCGATTTTGACGAGTTTCCTACAAAAATTCGCAATTAAAATTTCCAATATCACAATGCAATGCCATTAATCTGTTGTCGGAATTATTTTAATTGACCCATGACCTTTTAAGAATATCTTAAAAATGAAATTATTATTCCGTTAAATTCAACAATGATCAAATCAAATCAAATCAAATAGAAACATAAAACAAGTAAGTATATGCATATAAGATAAATTGCACTTTCAAAAAAAAGAAAATTAATATAAATTAATTAATCATTAAAAAAAATGAAATTAATTAATTCATTTCAACAATAAATGAAATGAATGTTATTTTCAATCAATCAATCAATCAATATTTTCATTCTTTAAAAAATTCCATTAAAATTGACATTGCTGTTTATAAATGAGCTGCAACAATATGCCAACTCAAAAATTATGCGAATTTAAATTTCCGATTCAAATCGTAAATGCATCGATAACAAAATCACACAGTCATGTGTATTTGTATCGGTCCAATTATTATTTCTATGTATTCATTGTATCTCTATGCATGTCTGCATCTGTTGATTATAAATTTTTATATGTATATGCGTATATATACATGTGTATATGTGTATGTTTGTATTTGTTTGTTGTTGTATATTTACCACGATGAGAGGGAAATAGTAGGTAAAAGTAGGAGTGTTAAAAGAGAGATGGAAAATCTTTTGTTCCATTGATGGCCTTTAATCTATCAACATATTTAACAAAATTTGAAAAAATTTCTCCTATTTATAGGAGGGGAAGTAGAAATAAGAAATTAATATGTCCATAATTTGACCATTTGGACAACAGAAAGTCCCTCAATGGTCAAGCAATCATTCCGGGATTGATTAACAATTAATCGAATTTTAATCTCTACCGGAATTGATTAATGATATCCGGCATTGATCAAATTTTGCTGTAATTTCCGAAACTGAGGAGATTTTTTGTCTGATTCTGTTATGAATGCAACATCATCCAGTTTTATCATATTTGATAATTTTGTTATTATTAATTTTCTCACTAATCACACGGTAATGAGAATCATCATAAAGTTATGGCTAAATTAGGTTAATTCAGGAATGAAATATCGGAATCTTCTATATAATAGGCTAAAGAGAAGTGAAAGGATATAAGCACAAATAGTTAAGCAGAAAAAGCTTTTTAATAAACTTTTTCCTAAGCTTATGCTTTATTATTATAGTAAATATCTTTAAAATGGTTTGCTGAAAGTCTAACAATAGCTGGGCCTTAAATACTAAATAGCCTAGCATATTTTGTGGTACTTTTATAATATTAAAATCGGTCGAATATGAAATGATGGTAAACTATTATGAATATTTACTATTTAATATTCCCGTTTTATTAGTTTAGATTCTGGCTGAGAAATGTTTCATTTGTAATTCTCATTATTATTGCTTTAGGAAATTGTCGTCAGTATTGTTTGATAGCTTAATTTCATTCCATTATTCCCACCGTTATTTATATATTGCATAGGTATGATAATTATTATAGTTATCATATGTCATCCATTTCAACGTTTCAGAAAGTAAAAATTCCGTTTCAAAATGTTTAAAATTATAAGTGAAAATTTGAGAATTTACAACGCATTATCAGTTTTATTATTAATTACTAACCAGTTCTTCCATCTTTGGGCTGGAAATTTCGAATGATTTCTTACCCTGAAAATTAATGAGGTGATTTCTTTTTAGTAATTTACATCTTAACTTATTTTGAAAGTACTGTAGAGACAGTACTACTTCAGAATGTAAATTTGCGCAGATTTAATCGGAGGAAAATTAGATGCGATAAATTCTCGGTGAGAGGAATGAGTGAATGAATTATAAAAAAGAATTAATTTTTTGAAATAAGTCAGGTGAAGTCAGCTATATGTAAATTGATCTATGTAAATTGATGAGCATTACTTGTTTCGAAGTGATTACAATATTATCATTGTCATTATTTTGGCTAATAGTATCATTAAAAAAGTGAAGTGTTCTGTTTCGGTTGGCTTTCGAGACGAAAATGAAAAAAATTATTTGAATTAATTATTATTTGAATTTGATAAGACTAATAATTATTTGCATAATTTTTACTTTACGGAATGTATCAGAAATAAGATCGTTCAAGAATTAAATTCAATCGTATGTATATACTGCAGAAAATTTTTATAAAATTTAATTAAGGAAAATAAATCATTTAAAAAAATAAGGAGACGTTATTTTCATGATCTTTACATTAATTCTAAAATAATTGCTAATAGTAATTTATAGATTGAATATGATTATCACATCCCCAAATTATCTTTATCAAATTTTTGAATTTCTTATTTTGCAAAATATATTCATCATGCTTGATCACTTTAATTTACAATGTTTGTTTTCCAACTTTTTAAAATGTATCTAGCAAACTTTACTAATTTATATGAAACGAATCATAGATGTTAACGTACAAATTGAAATGAATAGATTCTCTTAGGCATTTTAAACTATCTTATTAATAATTGATGAAATTACTTTAGACAAAGTCAATCAAATATAATGTAAACATATCATAAAGTAAATGTTTGCAATTAGTTATTGTGCAATTTTGCTAATATGACATCTAAATAATAATCACTTTATTATAAATAATGTTAGCGTAAAAATATAGCCTTAAGCTGGTTGATGACAGCGATAATGAATCAGAAGTTAAAAATATAAATTAATCATGCGGAAATGGTTTTAATTTTCCAAAAAAAGAAATATAGAACAAATAATAAATAATAATAATAAATAAATAATAAATAATAATAGCAATCCTCAAATGTTTTATTTATTTTAAAATTATGCAAATTTTTGACTAAAAGACTTATCAAAAGAGAAGTAAGTTAAATTTTCTACATTAAATATTATCGTTTGTATTAATTTAAGAAAAATAACCAACGAGTTGTTTCAATGAATTATCTTTGAGAATTGAATGTAACATTAGGCATTTCGGTTTTTGTCGTTGATGGAAAATTTGACCGGAATGATCAACCGATTCTGGCAGTGATAAAGGAGTTGAATTCATATCCGAATCATTGTTGTTACATTTCCCAGATTTATTCCTCCTATGACTGCTTGTTGATTTATTACGAAAGCAAGATGTCAGCAAATGCAGTTTGAAGCAAATTTTCGTCAGAATTTAATTTTTTTTCCCCGGATAATAGCGATTAGATAATGAGCGTTTGCAAACTCTAAAACTCTATAATTATTGTCAACAAAAAGTGAAATAATATAACATAGGCCGGAAAAAAACCAATTATTATTGCAATTTTCAGGCATACAATAAATTGCTAACATTTTAATGAATAAATAATTTCGAATTAAAAATTAATCGAAATATTTTTTTTTTCAAATAAGAATTATTCGTAATTTATTTTTAATTATTATAATAGTATAATTATCATTGATCAATTCAATTCAATTCAATTCCTTTTAATTATTTAGAAATTTTTATTACTGCGAATGAAAGAATTAAAAATTTGAAATTGTAAATTTATTGATAATTCTTAAATTTCAATCATTAAAATATCCTAAAGAGAAAATTTCTGATGAAATCAATAATAGGTAGGAGAAGATGACAATCGTTTGACAAATGACAAAATAATAAATGAATGTTGCTGTTCAATCCAATTAACTTTCAACTAATCTTATCCATTTAAAACTTTTAAATAATTAAATAATAAAACAATAGTTCTAATTAAAGTTAAATAAGTAAAAAACACTTTCTTAGCTTTAAATATTAATAATTTCTTTTTTTAAAAAAACAACGATATGTGTTAAATAGAAGAGTTTGTGGGAAAAAAAAATTATAAGTTACGGTGTAACCAATGAAGAAAATTTTGATGAACAACTGCTCATTTTAAAACTCTTTCAATTTACACTAAAAAGCTAAACAATAATACTTTAGTAATCAGTTGCTATCTGTCAAATGGATTACTACTATTTTATGGTGATAAATGCTTAATATTATATCATCTGATAATATCATTATTTATAAATCATAGTTTAATTAAATCTGATAAATGATTTTCTTTATCAGTCACTTATTGCTATCACTTTTTTTATTTATTCTTCTTATATAACATAATTATTTGAATAAAATGATATAAGCCATTATTTGCTATCCCCAATATACATTAATTTTTCATGATCAAAAGTTTGTTAGGAGAATTATTATTAATGACGTTTTGAGAGAGTTGCGCTTTTCATCATCACTTCGCAATTCTGCTATTATTAATTAAATGTATTAAACAATGGATGGAAGATGAAAGCGAATGATTTACATATTGTTAATACTGAAATGATAATTTAGTAATGAGATGAAAGAGAATAGAAAACAAATTTTTACGCTTAGTTTTTAATTATATCTTATATCATAGCTTTAACAGGAAAAGGATTAATTTATTTCTATTAAAATTATAATATATAATGAGAAGATAATGACAATGAATGATAAATTTAAATTTCAATTCCTAAATTGGAATACAGTTGATAATAATAGCAATATTACAAAAAACAATTGTTTTAAATAGTTAATTTGAAAGTTTGCTTATATTATCAAACTATGAATGATAAAATTAAATTTCTGATTTCTATATTTTAAATATTCCAAACAATTTTCTTTTGTTTTAAAAACCCAAAAATCCCTTTTAGATTACAATGACAGAAATCAGTGCAGTGTAATTTTACAATGTAAAAATTTAGTTTTGCATGGAAAAGTGAATGTAGCTGGATTGAAACTTCAAAATACTGAAGCAAAAATTCGGCATTACTAAAAGAAATATATAAAACTATAAAATATATAAAACAGAAAATACATAAAAGAGCAAGCGAAAAATATAAAAGTTTTAATTTCGAAATGAATCGCATATTTAATTAATACATAAAATCTTACTTTCAGAATAAATCGCATATTTAATAAATACTAAAATCAATTTTAATTATAGGTTTTCGATTAATTAATTATTACAGAATATTTTCTTAAAACTTTCATTTACAACGATTTCTCTAAATATTAATAAAAAACGAAAGTTAATGCTTTTTTGTTTCAGATTGAAAAGTTTAGAATAAATACAAAATGAAATGAAGAAGAAAGTAACGGAATAATCACAGATGAAGAAAATAAATTAAGTCAATTAAAATTTGATATCATTATAAGACAGTATCAGCTCTTCTTTTGTTTTAAATGATATTTAATTTTTCATTAAGGAAATTTAACCTTTTCTTTACCCGAGAAAAAGAAAAGTTAACTTAATCTGTGATTATTCAGTGAAAAATAAATGTACAATTGTTTCTAAGAAAGTTCAATATTGTAATGTATAAACAAAATATATTGCAAAAAAAAAATGATAAGAGATAAGGGAAAAGATCAAAATACATTACTGATATGATACAATATCAATACCAATGTGAAAGAATACGCAATAAAAGAACTGAAAGAATTAAAAGACGAAGAAAAATGTTGCAGTTTAACAGAAAGTAAAAAAAAGTGAAAGTTTCGTGGAAATCGATTTGTCATATTTTATATCAAATTGGATATTAAAGGCCTTTCATCAGTTATCTATAAAATCTATAAAAGTTTAAGAGTTAGCATTTTATAAGTATTCATTAATACTTCAAATATTTGCTTCATTCTTATTATTCATTAATTTTTGAGATATTTCACAACAAGTGAAATTTACTAAATTGAAATATTCGCCAAAATCGGTAACTGTCAAGAGAGATTTTTCTAATCTTACTACTTTAGCAAATGATTTCTGATCAGTTAATTTAATCGTTGAATTCATTCCAAACATAAATTTGGTTATAACGATAATTGCTAACCACTGAATGGCTCAGATGGTGTAATGTAAGAGTATTATAAATTTCGAAATTATGGTTAATGAAATTGAATTCCCAGCTGACATAGGAGAAAAAAAAATTTGCAGCCTCTGTAAGAATAATTGCAGTCATATATTATTGGAACGATAAAAGAATCTAATCAAAAAACTTTCAAAAATCTTTAATTATTTGAAACTTTGTTAATTTATTTGACATTTGAAGGTTGAATGTAACAGGCACTTCATCGGATTATTTGAATGCTTTCCTCAATAAGCAATTAAGAAGTTGAACAAAAATATTGCTCATATCGGTTAAGCTTCTGGCCATTTTGAAATAATGAGCTTGGAATTAAATGAAGGAAATGAAATTTTGCACTAAGATATTCCATCGTTATTTATTTTCAACGATAAATTCACGGATTTAAATTTTAGAATTTTGAATTTTCCTTTTGTTACTTTAGTATAATATTTATGATTTAAGAATTCCAAAAATAAAAATTAAAAATTGTGTAAATATGAGGAATTAAATTTTGTGATAATTAAAATGAAAATATAAGATAAAAATCTGATTAAAAAAAATGTATTATACCTTAAGCGCGCTGTCCACAAATTCCTTCTTGTAATTAATTTTGATCATTTCATTAGATAAATGTAGCAAAGAACTTTGTAAGTGACATCTTAAACTAAATATCTATCGTCCAACAACAACAATAACAACAGTAATACAATTACTAGCAACATTAGCATTGAACTATAAATATATGTTTAATGCTAACTATTAACTGATAACTGATAGATAAATAAACAGTATATGTTTGCTATTAGCATACTTTCTATAAAACTACTTTTTTTTTCTCATTTTATTTTTGTAATGCCTTTTTAATGAAATGATATATGATATGATATGATATGAACATATATACATATAAATTGCAAATAAATAGCATATGTTTGCTATTAGCTTACTTTCTATAAAACTACTCTTTCTTTTTCTTTTTATTTTTGCAATGCCTTTTTACAAAAAAATGCTTATTCAATTAATAATAACAAATAATGAATATGATATGATATGATATGATATGAATATGATATGATATGATATATGATATATGATATAAACATATATACATACATATATATATTGCTTGTTAAAAACAAAAAAAGATATTTGCCTTAAAGCTTAATTTTCCAGTAATCATTCCTATTTAATCCGTTGTTAGAAGAAGAAGAAGAAAGGAAGTAAAGAAAAGATATTATTACTTTAATACAAATCCATTTAGAAAATGGAAGCCATGAGAAAACTACTTATTAATTAAATAGGAATTTTAATGAATAAAAATGGCATTAGAAGAGAAATTTTATTTTCAATGAAATAAGACAAAATACATTTTGTTCAACAAAATGTGAACAATATCTATCAATGATACATATGTATACATAACAATTTTAAAATCGATATAAATAAGACTTTTTGAAAATTTTCTGTTTCGATTGAATTTTCCACTTTTTTCCCCCCTTCTTCTCTTAACGTCATAGAAAACTTTTTTTCTAACTTATTATGCAAATTTTTCATTCAAAAATATTTTCTTTTTTTCTCTACGCAATAATAACTCTTTCATTCTCTTTTTTTCTCATAACTTTAAGATTATTTTAGAGAGAAGAGAGAGTGAAAGGATGAAAATTGAAATTTCCCTCAAAAATTACAACATTAACCGAATAAGTGTATATTACCAATATATTATTCTCTCTTACATTTATTTAGATTTTACGAGAACAAATTATTTTCATTCAATATTCGTTGTGAATTTAATATGAAATTTCCTCTCTCTCTCTCTCTCTCTCTCTCTCTTTCGAAAATTACTTTTTAATAAAAAAGAAAAGAGTGCAGCGCGATATTTCAGTGATTTTCGTGATATTACACTTATGCAAATGCTCCTTCAATTGACAAAGCACCACCAATAATATTACGACCAAATGGACATCACATGCAGTGGACTGGACATTTATAAAATTATTTCCAATAAGTAATATTTTTTATTAAATAAACTCACCACCAATAAGAGTACGACCAGATGGACATCACATGCAGTGGACTGGACATTTATAAAATTATTTCCAATAA